TAAGTTGGTAAGGTTTGATCTGTCCCCGTCCACACACACACACAAACACAGCCAGCTGAGGGTTAAGAAAGTACTTGGCACGCACACAGGTCATTATCTCAAACTTGGCAGCAATATAATCACCGTCTGCCAAGAGCTTTTACGGCAACAGATAACATAACATTACATACGCATTGCAAATAGTCCAGCAAAAACAATATCCCTTTCGGCAGCTTCAGACGTTGTTCAAGTGACTAGCCAAAGTTCGTTTTTGTTCGTCACGGAGTTTTACCAGCCACCACCCTCTCTTATATAGTCTCTGGGGTGTGGTCCAGTGACTCAGTTCTAATCCCTAGCACGCCTCCTTAACTGCTGCAACCGTTTATCACGCCTTCGTTGGCGTGCATCCAGGAATGACGGCTCTCCTTCGCTCTCATCTGAAACACCTGGCTCCTGGGTAATCTCCTCTCCCTCGGCCGGCACCTGAGACAGTGCCAGAGGGGAGGGGCCTGGAGAGGGAGGCCTGGCTGACTCCTCTTCCTCATGTTCGGAGCTTTCTTCCTCCGATGAGATAGGCTCAGAGGGCGGGGCCATAACAAGGTTGAGAAACACTGATCTACTCCAACATTTGCTACCGCCTCCTGGCATATACTGTTGAAGAGGGCACCCTCATTTTTTTTGTCATGGTAGAGGTTCTCCTGTAAGGCCCACGATACTGAAGATTACCTGGTGTTTCCCAAGACGTGAGTATCTGATGCTGAAACCTGCTAGTTTAGGCCACAGAATTACGGAATCAGATGTTGTGGCACATACTGGCCTCTGCAAAAGTGAAAAGATTAGACTACCTAAGGTAGAGCTACTCACCACATATTTCTGTTTCTTCTGAGATGAGATCTTCACAATGGGCAAGTTTTTACCAGTTACACTTTGAGAAGATCGATGAAATGAGACCCTGCAGTACAGCAAGAAACAGGAGAACTCATGATCAAAGGGAGACTGAGTTACACAAGACTCTCCAATCCCAATTCACACCACTCTTTTCACTGCCCAAACTCTCAGAAACAACTACTGATAGTCCTCGGCTTACAGCAGTTCATTTAGTGACCAAAGTTACATCACTGAAAAAGTGACTTATGACCATTTTTCACACTGACGACCATTGCAGCATTCCCAGGGTCATGTGATCAAAATTCAAAGACCCTTGGCAAGTGATTCATATTTATGACGGTTGCAGCATCCCAGGGTCATGTGATCACCTTTTGCGACCTTCTGACAAGCAAAGTCACTTGGGGAAGCCAGATTCATTTAGCAACCGTGTGACTAACTTAACAAAGCACTGATTCACTTAACAACTGTGGCAAGACAGATCGTAAAATGGGGCAAAATTCATTTAACAACCATCTCGCTCAGGAGTAGAAATGTTGGGCTCTATTGTGGTTGTAAGTCGAGAACTACCTGTACAAGGTGACCCAGGTTTATCCCCACTGTAGCTGACTTACATCTTTTTTAATTTCCAACTTTCTCTAGCCCGCAGAGCTGATGCACACAGCTTTTCTGTGCTTAGCAACACAAACTGCCTTTCACATAATTCTTCTTACCCATATTTGTCCAAGGCAGAATATAAATTCCCTTATTTTTTTCCTCTTTTTTCTTATATTGACCAAAGGCCTTCAAAAATGCAGATAGTGTATATCAGAAGTGGGTTTCAAAATTTTTTACTACCGATTCTGTGGGCGTAGCTTGGTGGGCATGGCATGGCATGGCTTGGTGGGCGTGGCAGGGGAGGGATACTGTAAAATCTCCATTCCCTCCCCACTCCTGGGGGAAGGATATTGCAAAATCCCCATTTCCTCCCAATCAGCTGTGACTTTGGAGGCAGAGAATAGATGGGGGCGGGGCCAGGCAGAATTTTTACTACAGGTTCTCCGAACTACTCAAAATTTCCACTACCGGTTCTCCAGAACTGGACAGAACCTGCTGAAACCCACCTCTGATGTATATACAGGAATATGTATATAATTCAATTTCCATTAAAATTGTTTTACATGCTCCTTTTTTTCCGCCAAGGTTTTTTTTTTACCCAACTGGTGATTTTTTACAGACTAGGCTCAATTCAACGGCCCATCCAGGTATGTCGTAGCAGAAAGGGTTTTAAGAGAAGTTGAAAATTCCTGTTCCTAAAATTGCTTTCCTGCACCTGAATCTCCAAATGAACTAGGCAACCACTCCCATTGTCACCAACCCACACAGTCAACAGTTATACCGTTGATAATTATGGAAATTTAGAGCCTTGGTGGCGCAGCAGACTAAAGTGCTGTTAAGTAACACCAGCTGCCTGCAATTACTGCAAGTTCAAATCTCACCAGGCTCAAGGTTGACTCAGCCTTCCATCCTTCCGAGGTAGGTAAAATGAGGACCCGGATTGTGGGAGCAATAAGCTGACTTTGTATAAAAAAGAACACCGCTTGGGGGGGGCGAAAGCCCTACTAAGCAGGTATATACAAAAGTATGAAGGCTATTGCTTAACGCATTGTAAGCCGCCCTGAATCTCCGGAGAAGGGCGGCATATATAAATCAAATAAATAAATAAATTTGAGTGTAAATATAGAATTAATGTTCTCTTCATTGCAGTTACCTTTTATCAACTTCTAGAGTGCCAGACCTAGAATATCAAGAGAGAGAGGTTAATTCCCCCAGGAACCTTATTTTTAAAAGCTCCAATTCAACAATTGCAAAGGATGCAAACAAGGGCTCATTAATTAAGCATTGGCGAAGAAAAACCCCGATCACCAGCAACAGGTGGGCAGCTCATCCACTCTCCACCTGCAATCCGAATTACCCGCCGAAAACAGGTCCAACCAGGTGGGCGGGGCGACCTCTTTTTCCTCCAGCCAATCAGGAACGAGATACCTGCGGCGGCCCCTCCCACGGGGCGGACCATGCAGAGACGTCGTGGAAGAAGGCGCATGCGCAGTGAGGTCACCGTAGAGGCGGGGCTTACGCGAACCCATCCTGACTGGCTGGAGGATAAAAAGGCATCCCCGCCCTTCCCTGGCTGGGACTGCTGGGAGTTGTAGTTCAGCCTCGCAGTACGGCGGCGCCACAACAACGCTACGCAAAGCCAAGGCCTGCAGGAGCCGACCGCTGAACGAAACCCGCTTCTTCGGCGTGACAAAGCTTCCCAACCTGGACGGGGGCTATTTGCTTACTTTCCTCACTTCAAGCGCCCTTCCGAAGAGGACTCACCCGATAAAAACGGAGGGGCGGGCCTCCATGGCCGCGGAGAGGGGAACAGCCGCGGAGGCTGTTGACGGAGGGTCGCCACGGCAACAGGCCCCGCCCCTCTCGCCGCTTGAGCTAGGCTGCCGCGCCCTCTAGAGGCGTCCAGCGGTAGCGGCGCGGGGCAGTTATTCACCGGGTGTTTTTTTTTCCCCCGAGACCCCGGGCATTTTTCGGCTTATCTGACCCTGGGATGTTTGCGCGGAGGATAATTAGCTTTTAAGGGGGGGCGGGAAGGGGGGGGCTAGGACCCTTAACTGGCCGGTGCCGTGAACACTTCGAGGAAGGCTGCCAAGGCGAATGCCCGCAAATTGGAGAACCCCCTAAATCCGAACCCCGAAGGGTCTTCCTTTTTCTCAACATTCGTGCTTCTGCAAAATGCAGCGTTTGCAAGGAGAAGGGAGTATCCGTTTAAAATAGGCCTTTCCTAGAAAGCCTTGTGTGTGTGTTTTTGGGAAGAAATGTTAATATTGCAACAAAGTAAATATTGTCTTCGGGATTGTTATAGAGACGGATCTCGCTGGCTTGTTTCCCTTGATTCGCAGCTAATTGTGCGATGGGTTGGTTTTTTTTAATATTTAGAATATTTTTATGCACTGCTCAAAAAAATAAAGGGAACACAAGCAGGAGACATCCGAGATCTGAATGAATGAAATAGCCTTATTAAATACTTTGTTCGTTACATACAGTAGTTTATACACTGCTCAAACAATTAAAGGGAACACAAAACTACTGTATGTAACGAACAAAGTATTTAATAAGGCTATTTCATTCATTCAGATCTCGGATGTCTTCTGCTTGTGTTCCCTTTAGTTTTTTGAGCAGTATATATATAGAGAGCCTCGGTGGTGCAGTGGACTAAAATGCTGTTAAGTGCTAGCACTTAGCTGCCAGCTGCCTGCAATTAGTGCGTGTTTGAATCTCACTAGTCTCAAGGTTGACTCAGCCTTCCATCCTTTCGAGGTAGGTAAATTGAGGACCCGGATTCTGGGGGCAATAAGCCAACTTTGTATAGAACAACACCGCTTACCCCCCCCAAAAAACATAATAAGCAGGTATATACAAAAAAGTATGCAGGCTATTGCTATAATGCATTGTAAGCCGCCCTGAGTCTACGGAGAAGGGCGGCATATAAATTCGACTAATAAATAATAATAATAATATATATATATATAATTATATTTATATTATATTATATTTATATTATACTATATTATATTAGAATAAAGTATTAGAATAATAGGGTCGGAAGGAATCCTTGGAGGTCTTCTAGTCCAGGGATCTCCAACCTTGGCTGCTTTAAGCCTGGAGGACTTCAATTCCCAGAATTCTGAGCAAAGCTGGCTGGGGAATTCTGGGAGTTGAAGTCCTCCAGGCTTAAAGCGGCCAAGGTTGGAGACCCCTGTTCTACTCCAACCCCATGCTCACAGGGGAAAACCCTGTAACTTTACAGTCACAAGACCGCCTCCGACCCGCTTTCTCATCGCGCAGATATTCCATCCGTTGCATGGGCTGTCGTGATTTATTTGCTTTTTTTAAAAGGAATCGCACCCCGGATAATTCAGCGCTGGGCTTGTCAAAAGCTCCTAAGGCTGGCTTTGCCTATATAGCAAACCGTTCTTTGACTCGCTATCCCGAAGGCCTTTGCGACGCCTTTGCCGAAGTTGGGCGGGGCCCCGCCCTCCATTCGCGGTCTTTCACGGGACCCGTAGTCTTCGCTTCCATCGAGCCGGCTCGGTTCGACGGCGCAGCCGGACTCTCTTTCCCGTCATGCAACGCTGCCTCCATTGTGCCCGAGCCCGCCTCCCATTGGACGGGCCTGGGAAAGGGAGCCCGCTTCCCCTCCCGCTGACACAATAGTGGATCCAAGATGGCGGATGCGGGTGCAGCCAGCTTACCTGGGGGAGACACGGCGCTGCCTCCCCCGCCGCCGCCGCCTCCCCCGCCTCCCCCGCCGCCGGAGGAGCAAGAGCTGAGCCGGCGTCTCCGTCGACTCTACCCGGCCGTCAACCCGGCCGAGACGCCGCTGCCCCGAGCCTGGAGCCCCAAGGACAAGTATAGCTACATCGGCCTCTCCCAGGGCAACCTGCGCGTCCACTACAAAGGTGGGGGTGGGGGGGGGAGGAGGCCCCGCTTCTCTGCCTTGAGGGGAGGGGGATGGCGGGGCCTTCGCCTGAGGGGGTGGGGGAGAAGTGGGGGGAGAAGGCCTCGCCGCCCCAGAAGGAGGGAGGGGGGTTTGTGGGCAGGACATTTTTTTGGGGGGGGTTCCCCCCACTGGCGCAGGGTTTTACCCCAACCTTGGCAGCTTTAAGACTTGTGGACTTCAACTCCCAGAATTGCCTCATGAAAAGAGAGAGAGAGAGAGAGAGACGGAGGGAGGGAGGAAGGAGAGAGAGAGAGAGAGAGAGAGAGAGAGGAAGAGAGAAAGAAAAAGAAAGAATGAATTCTGCGATTTTGCGAATTCTGGGGTTTGAAATCCTCCAGCCTTAAAAGTTGCCCTGGTTGGAGACCTCTGCTTTAGAGAGAGAGAGAGACTCAGTTGCCCCTGTGAAGGAGGAAGGAAGGAGAGAGAGAGAGGAAGAGAGAAAGAGAGGGAGAGAGAGAAAGAAAGAAAGAAAGAATTTTGCGATTTTGCGAATTCTGAGACTCAAAGTCCACAAGTCTTAAAGTTGCCAAGTTTGAAGCCTCAAACAGGGGAGGGGTCTCGCCTGGGAGGGGGAGAGCCAGAGAAGGACATCTTAGCTCCCCTTTGGGCAGGTAGGGCTGAGAATCCCCCCACCCCCACCCTCTGGGACTTCTCTGGGGCAGGCTGAAGAAATCTCCTTATGGCCTGCCAGCAGGAGCTGTCAAGGCTATTTATTCACACACCCCCGTCCCCCCCACACACACATCCCCCAGGACCAAGGAGCTTCTTTGGGGCTTGTAGAGCATTTCCTTGTCTCCTGGAATGGGGTGGGTCCCCAAAGGGGCTTTGTTTTGTTTTGTTTTGTTTTCAACTGGACTTTCTGGTAAGCACATCAATCCACTGTCTATGGAGATTCTCCGTCATCCAGGTTGTCCCAAAGCTGCTTTTCTTTCTTTCTTTCTCCCTCTCTCTCTCTCTCTCTTTCTCTCTTTCTCTCTCTCTCCTTCCTTCCTTCCTTCCTCCCTCCCTCTCTTTCTCTTTTCAAAAGGCAACTGGACTTTCTGGTTTTTTTCTTTGAAGACATTTCGCTTCTCATCCGAGAGAAGCTTCTTCGGCTCTGACTTGAGGATGGTGGGAAACGGAAGGATTCTGACCATCCGGTCATAGAGCGCTCGAAGAAGCTTCTCTAGGATGAGAAGCGAGATGTCTTCAAAGAAAACAAACAAACCGGAAAGTCCAGTTGCCTCTTGAAGAGAGAGAGAGAGAGAGAGAGAAGCTTTGGGACAACCTGGATGACGGAGAATCTCCATAGAAAGTGGCATGGTGTGGTTACCCCCCAAAAACAGAGATTCTTCTCCATCTCAGCAGTTTGAAAAAACATGTGGGCTTCCAAAACCCCTGGATTTTGTGGCTGGTTAATTCTGGGATTCGACGCCTCCTAGGGCAAAGGGTAGAGCCACAGAAACGCACAACTGTTCTTCTTCGGTGGTCCCAGAGAGAGAGAGAGAGAGAGACATCCACAGCCCATCCTTTGAAGTAAAGTATCCTTTGGGGCAATATTTATCAACCTCGACAAATTGAAGATGGATAAAACCCTCTGCCAAGGTTGAGAAACACTAACCCCAAAGTATACTTTTACCTTAAAGGATGAGCTGTGAGTCTTTCTGGGACAATAACAGAAGATCAGCCATGTGTTTCTAATGCCTTGTCCTTTTTACAAATGTGTTGGAACACCTGTTTTACCTGTAAGGGAGTGTATTCGGTTGTGGGCTTGGCAGGCAGGCTGGCTGGCTGGCTCCTGAAAATCCTTGCTGCCTGATGGTTTCACTGAAGAATTAAAGAGGCTTTTGACCTGTCTTCTGCCTGTTTCCCTCCTCCTCCTCTGTTTATTTTAAAACAGGACATGGGAAAAATCACAAGGATGCTGCTTCTGTCAGGGCTACCCACCCCATCCCTGCAGCCTGTGGAATTTATTATTTTGAAGTGAAGATAGTTAGTAAAGGAAGAGATGGGTAAGTATGTGGCTTAACATGTATTCTTTTCAGTGTGTGTGTGTGTGTGTTGTCTTTTGGGAGAGTTGGAGCTGACTTTACCATCTGTACTTATGTTTGGTAGGGATGTGAATTGTGGCTTTGGGAAAGGGTGAGTGATTCATGTCTTTGTAGTAGGGCATTGCACCAGCAGCCTTTCAAAACAGTTGAGATCATTTTAGTGGGGGTTGGGTTTTGGTTCATTAGGGAGGATGAAGCTATGAATCAAGTTCAATTCCAGTTCAGATTTTTAAAAACTGGTTTGACTTCCTGCTATCAAATACCAAACCAGTGATATAAACTGAGATGAGGCATGATGGTTATGACTGTTTCATTATTGGCTGTGCTAGGTAATTATACCATGTTTACCTCTTAAAATTCCTATGTGGCTTTTTTGGTGTATTAGATCAGAAATCCAATATCCTATATAACAGTTACTGCAAAGGAAGTAGTGCAAATCCCTTCCGATAGCTGTTAGAATTATTTCCTGGCTACCAAATTATTTTACATATTCCTACACATTGGCCAAATGACCACGGAAACGTCCTCAGATAGTGCTGGTTCACAGCTTTGAATCAGAGATGAGCGCCCCCCCCTCCCCCAAATAGTTGGCGACCACTATTGGAGTATAAAATCCGCAGGGATTCCTTTCCTTCCTACATAAAATAATTTGTAAAGAAATGGGTACTTATGGTGGGTAATTGTCTGACTTGAGATCATTGATCTAGATCAGTGATTTCAAACTCAGGTCATCATGTGACGTATTACAACTTTTTCCCCCTTTGTTAAACCGGGTGTGGGCGGCATTAGCGCATGATGCATCCGGGCCGTGAATTTGACAGTTCACAATATTGAGCTGATTGAATTGTTGATTCCAAAAATATTTGGAACTTGCATAAGATAATTTTCAGTATATTTCCTATTGTAGGTTCAATTATATTATTCTGGCATAGTCTAGTTATCTTTATTACTATTTTATAGTAAATTTTGAGCTAATGGCTCATACCGGTAGTCCTCGACTTACAACAGATCATTTAGTGACTGTTCAAAGTTACAACGGCACTGAAGAAAGTGACTTATGACCATTTTTCACAGTTACAACCGTTGAAGTATCCCCATGTTCATGTGATCAAAACTCAGATGCTTGGCAACTGGTTCATACTTATGACCGTTGCTGTGTCCCAAGGTGACGAGATCCCCTTTTTGCGACCTTCTGACGAGCAAAGTCAATGGGGAAGCCAGATTCACTTAACAACTAGGTTACTAACTTATCAACTGCAGTGTTTCACTTAACAAGAATGGCAAGAAAGGTCATAAAATGGGGCAAGACTCGCTTAACAAATCTTTCACTTAACAACAAATTTCGGGCTGAATTGTGGTCCTAAGTCAAAGACTACCTGTATTCTGGAAATTTGGCAGGTTACATTTTTTTTGGGAATGCTGATATATAACAGGAGGTTTTTGATTTTGGTCTTTGAAATACAGTGTGTTGATAACAAACTTGAATGATACGCCGAACACTAAACCATGCTTAAAGCAAATTACGTGATCAGCCAAAAATTGTCCCGGTAGAATAACAAACAGTCCAGTTTGGGAAATGGGGAGAAAAGCATGATCATAATGTGAATTAAACTAAATTGCCTTGCTTTAAAGAATTTGGGTGTTGTAATGTTAATGATGAGATCACATGTATGGCCAGCAAGATATTGCAAATCAGAAGGGTGGAGAGACCAGATACATGTCTCCTCACTGCAGTGCATAGCAGTATTTTTATGTGCAACTTTGCCCCAGTGATTTCAGTGAGAAATTCAATTGGTTACTTTTGGATACCTACTTATTTTAGGGCATTGCTAAACTGCTACAGAGGCTTTAAGAAACTATATAGTTTCAATTGTTCGGTGTTTGGAGAAGAAATGGAAACAGCAATGGACATTTAGAGTTGTTTTTTATCACCTTTGTTATGTCTGGAAGGAGTTGCTTGTAATTGCCTTGATACTGTGTTTCATACACTTGTGTAAAGTTTAGCCCAAATCCAGTTTTTCTGTATCTGTTTGTTGATGTAGAGACTTATTTCAACGTTGCTTCTACATGCTTTTTTTTCCTTTTTTTGTAACCTTTTTACTAAGGTTATAACTTTTTTGCTAAATCGGGATGTGGGAAGCTCAGGGCACATTGACACAACCTGTCGGACTGCTTCAGATAGCTTCAGCCACCATCTTCATGAGGAACTATTTAATTAAATGAATTGACAATACCTGGACAATAGTACCTGGACAATAGAGTAAGCTTTTACTTTGAATAATAGGGTAAACAGTGTTCTTTTTAAAGTATTTGTGGTGCCCAGAATGGATTTGTGGTTAAAAAACAGGTTGGAATGAGACATCCATTGTTGTATTTCCAGCAAATACCACTCAGTTTTGAGTACGGTGCTTTTTCTTATGTAAAGGGTTTGGGCTGATTAATTTTGATGGATGTACAGTATAGAACAGCTATATAAGTTTGGAAATTCAAGGGTAATGATAGCAGCTGTTCTAAATTAGCAGTGGTATTTCTGTGCTGTGGATGCTGCCAAAGGGGGGGGCAAATTCAATTCATTATACAATTCCCAGAATGGTTATAAGGAATTATCATTAACTAGGTTAATACATTCCCTTAGGGGCCCATGATCGCTGTGCAGTTGGTTTATGATCCATGGTGATGTAAAGATTGTTCTGCAAAGCCAGTTTTAAATTAAAATCTTGTACATATCAGAAAATAGATGCATCATACTGGTAACTCAGTGGTCAGGAATGATGTAATGGTGAGATCAGAAAATATTGAGAAATATATGTGCTAGATTTACACTGTGGCTTTCCTCCAGAATCTCAAAATATCTTCCATGGGAATGGTCACAATAACACATTTTGAGGTACCGGTAGGTTGGTTAGAGAAAGAGCAACTGGTTCTAAGTCCACATTCCATGGCTGTGGATGGACTTGAACCTGGCTCTCTAGTCTAGTGTTTCTCAATCTTGACAACTTTTAAGAAGTGTGGACTTCCAACTTCCATAATGTTCTAGCCAACATGCTGTCTGGGGAATTTTAGATTATGAAGCTTAAAGTTGCCAAGATCGAAACCCTGCTCTAGTCTTAGACCATATTTTATTAGTAATCCCATTTGCTAATCAACCAATCTGCCCCAGGGGCCTGATGGAACCACTAGGTTTCCAAACAGCACTAGAGGTATTTCCTGAGGATTAGGATTGCCCCTGAGCAGCCTCTCTCTGCTCATCAATCCAGGGAAATCATTTGGTTCACTAAGGAGGTCCAGGAGATGAAAGGGCAAAGGAGATGCCTAGAGTGTTACTGGCAAAAAACCAGAAAGTGAATCCAAGCAAATATAGGTAAGAACTTAATTTCTTCTGCTGATAAAAACAGCCAATTATCATTATTTCTTTGCTGCTACCTCATTGTCTCCCAGATATCCCTTTGAGAGAAGGATGGACTAGAACATTATAGGGCCCTCTGAGAATTTTTGAGGAGCTGGAAGATAAGGTCACTCAAATTTGCTCAGAACTGATGCCAGGAAGGCAAGTTCTGTGGATGTGATTGAATCTCTCTATCTCACAGCTTTATCTGGGATAGGTTTGGACCAGTTCCTCTTGCAGTGCGACAGGGTAACATATGACAGCAGCTCAAAAACTTGTAGCCTGGCTCCTTTTCCCTTCTGGTTGGTGACAATCTCTAGGGAGGTGACAGAAGGCTGAGTTGGAGCAATGGTAAATACACCCTTAAATGAGGGGATAGTACCACCTGCCTTAAAGAAGGCAGTATTGTGCCTTTTCAAACTATCAGTTGACCCTGTAGTTAGACAGTTGTCTCTAGTCTCCCCTTTTGGGTGAAAGAAGGTGTGGGACCAAGATTACATTGATGATGCTCGTGAATGATTTTTAAAATGAGATCAAGATGGAGGGAGCATGATCCCCCTGGTTCTGGTTATCAAGTTACTGGTTTTCCATGCCAACAGCCACAGTGTCCTTCTGAAGTATTTCTTAGGACTGGAAGTAGGGAGATTTTATTATGATAGTTCTCCTTCTTGAAGGAGCAATTTCTGGTGGTATCATTAGGAGGGGAGAAGTTGTGCCACAGGCCAGCGGTCTCCAACCTTGGGTTTGGCCTGGCTGGGGGGGGGTCAGGGGGAAAGAGGGGAATTGGGCCGCACAAGCGGTGGGCCGGTATGCACACAGCCCTTATATAAGTGGCAGGCCGGCGGGCGCACACACAGTTTCATTTGAGTTATGTGTGCACGCATGCTCCGGCCAGCCATTCATGTGGCCCAATTCCGAATAGGCCATGGCCTGATAGTGGACCGGGGCCCAGAAGTTGGGGGCCCCTGCCATACGCCGCTGATTTATGGGATGCCATAGAGTTTGATGTTCTCCCCATTCCTGCTCAACATCTATAACAGTGATGGCGAACCTTTTCGTGCCCAAACTGGAATGTGCGCCTGCGCACATGCACCCCGGAGTGCCAAAAACCTGAAGACCAGGTGGCCGGCACCATAAGAGCAGCTGGCGACAGTGCACGTGCCCACAGAGAGGGCTGTGTGTGCTACCTCTGGCACATGTGCCATAGGTTCACCATCACGGATCTATAAGAAACTACTAGGCATGTGATCCAGTGAGATAGGATATGATATCAGCCGTATCCTAATGATGCCCCGTTTAATCCTCTGTGTGAACATTTGGTCACAGAAATGATTCTGATAGGATGAAGTGCAAGAGGCTCCCTCCAGTCCTTTCACTCAGGATATATCCCCTTGTGGAATCTCAGTCTTTCTAACAATGTTCCCCTGAAATCTATATTGTCCCAGCCTAATTGGGCTTTTCACAACAAACTGCCAGCTTTGAGACAGATGTGTTATGAAATAGTCTGCCTTGAGATTCAGTCGGTTTGAAATTGAATTTTTCTGTTACCTGGCATGAAGTCATGAATTGTTTCGTCTGTCATTTGGGTGTATATTTTAAAGTTATTTTATAGGCGCACGAGCTCCACAGAGTCAAGTTATGATTAAAGTGGCATGCAAGGCTAGTAAAAGGATATAATAAAAGGTAGCAATTATATATGAGATTGAAAAATGAAACTTGCATTTATTAGTGATTCTGATGCTGCTTATTTTTAGCCCTCTGCATGAACCCTCAATTCATTCAACCTATATAATCAAAGATATTCTAATGTCCCAATAAGGATTTATCATAAATGAGAGCTAATTTAAAAAAGTAATTAGTGTACTATTTATGTTTATTCTTTCAGTAATATCTCTGTCTTTTGGCAATTGAAGGACTGTCTTAAAATGGATTGTTGTTTGTCTTTAAAAATGATAAGTTACAAGTGCCAGATAACATTTAGGACAAATAAAAGCCAACAAATTTTGGCATGTAGCAACAGCTAAAAAGTGTTAAAAGCAAGAAAAATGAACAGTGAGCTGAAGAAGAGAGAGTATAGAGAAAGCTTCCTGAGAACGGATTATCAGTTCTGTCTGCATAGGTTCCTAAGGGTTTCTGGGAGGCTGAATTTCTGTAATTGATAGCCAGAGCAAAGCTATATGCCTACACTTTCTAATTTGAATGAGCTAATAGATACCATAGTGATGATTTGTTCAGGTTTGTTGACTGCACAACACTTAATAGTGATTGCATTTTTTAAAATCCCAGTGGTTGCGTTCTTAAATTGAGAAATGGATATTTATGGTTTTTGATACACAATTCTTAATTGTGATGTGTCTAGCTTTAAAGGCAAGGATCATCAATTCTTGTATCTTCAGAATGCTATGGAGCTTAGGTGCTATAACATAATTACACAATCATATAGATATCAGCCCTTGAATACAGCTGTTCCAGAGTATTAGTGATGGACTTTGACAGATTTTGCTTTATGAATTTATTTTCTAACCACACTCATCTGACTACTTGATGGAGCCAGGTCTAGTTTTGCCTCAGTTTCACATATGAAGTGGAAATAATAATGAACTTATTACATAGTAGAGCTATTTATGCCTTGAAAATGATTCAGAAGAAATATTTTGGCCCTCTCACGAACATATTTATTAATGTAGCATGCCTTCTCCTAGACTGTGCGAGCTAGAAAGAAATCTGTGGTTGCTTTATTGAGTCAGCTCATTAAATTTAATAGGATTTTTAAAACAGCCACCTCTATTTTTCAATCTTGTGAGGTAGCCTGTATAAAGACAAGACTGCTTTAAGGAGTCTGCGCTTTTACATGCTTTTCTAAACATATGCCTCTGGTTAATATTCCTGCAAGTGATACGATGGTCTTGAAAATCTTCCTCTCCCTCTCCTTATAGTTGTGGTAGTATAGCATAGCCTTTTTTGTACATTATTTGGTTCAGGGCCTTGAAACCTGACCTATAACAACAGTAGAATTTCATTACATGGACTATGATCTCATTCTAGGAGAGCTACTGTCCCACAGAATGAAAGTTGCTAATACACTGCACAATAAACAACATGAATTGTCTGACTGACTGTGTCATCTCTGGCATACAGTGTTTATAAACATTTTACAAATGTTCACTTGAGTTATTCCGAGTTGCAAAATCTGTTGCTCCAGCTCTTGTTTATAGAATGATGTGGCATATGTGTTGTTTCTGATAGAGGAGAGTGTTGAATACCAATTGAAAAGCATTTTAACCTTTCACATACTAAGTGAGCAATGCTCCCCCCTCCCCCCCCCCCTTGTCATAGTACCCACAGTTCTGACAGGCTTCTAATGACCTGCACATGAGAAAAAAGTGTGAAATAAATGTTCATTTGACATCCACAGCAGCTTTGGAAATGAATGAGTTCTAGTGTTGGCAGTTTATAATTGGGCTTTGTGGTATAAATATTTTTTTTTTAAAAAAAAGGTATGAATTCATCTCTGTGTGGTAGGGCAGTACAAAACCTCACTCATTTCCAGAATACCAATAATTGAATAGAAGGCAAATTTTCATTGTCACATTGACATACTAGTGCGAGGCATAGGAAGATATAAAAATATGCAGTATACCATATCAGATCATATAGTTATGTTTTTAGATATTAGGGAGTGATTTCTATTTTTTTGGAATTAAAAGAAATCTAAATTAGAAATCTCGGGGTTTGTTGGCTTTAGAACATGTCACTTCTGTGCTATTTTCCACCCATCATCAAGATGCTACCAAAATTTTTAGTGTACGACTAGAGTTCTAATTTTAACGAGTCAGGGTTTCTGAATGTATGACTTGTAATAATAATAATAATAATAATAAAGTTTGTATGCAGGTTAACTCTTACTTTAGCATGTCTGTCCTATGAAGCATTTGCATAATCTACATTTTATAGGCAATCTGTCTGAACAGGGACCCTCCAGAAGAGACGAGCTTTAACGTCCAGAATTCCTCAAACAGACAGCTGCTGAGAATTCTGGGAGTTGAAGTCATTACATCTGGAGGGTACAGAGGTTGGATTAGGCATCCCACAGAGAAAGGCTTCATAGTGCATACTAGCAATGGAAATAGGTGAGCTGAAGAACAGGATTTTTATTCATTTAGCAGTGTCCTTAACCTTTTGTCTTACTATCTGGGGAACCTGAGAGTTGTAATTCAGCAACATTCTGTGCACCCAAGAAGACAGGATTTGCCAGACTGACATTGTTCTGAGACAGAACGGAATATTTAAATTGGAAGATTAGATCGTTTTGTGAAAAACCTGTTTGTTCTGAACGAGGAGTTTACCTTCTGTGTGGCAGCATGCAGACACTTCTGATTCTTCGGGAGCAGAAACCTCCAACCTTATGTCAAGAAAAATTCCAATTGAATTTATTTCCTTCATGTTTCCTTCATGAAAGGCTTTACAATTTGTAAACATTAAAAATGGCTTAACCCTTGTAAAGCTGTTGTAAAGAGGAACTGTTCCTGCCAAGAGAAGATAACTTCTCTGAATTATCTCTAATAGATGATATACTCTACTTAGTCACCGAAGGAGGAAATATCTCTTGTGCAGCTGACGATGAAGTGTGTATATATGCTTTATCAGAGTTGCTGTTCCTTTTCCTGAATGTTAATTCTGGTTTTGGGGCAAAGGAGCAAACTTACAATAAAAACAAATAGACTTAAGCTGCAATATCTCCAAACTTTGTATCTGAAAATTACAGTTGTTGTCCAAAATAATTTTGATATTTTCTGATATATTTTAGTGAGGGATAACATTTTTGTATCAGAGATAATAAGCTTTTCTATGAAGGGAAAATGTTTGAGCACACAAAGGCGGCTTGATTACAGGCCACTATTGTTATCCTATTATTATTGTTGTTGTTGTTATTATTGTTATGCCAACCTAGCAGTTCGAAAGCATGTAAAAAATGCAAGTAGAAAAATAGGGACCACCTTTGGTGGGAAGGTAACAGCGTTCCATGCGCCTTTGGCGTTTAGTCATGCCGGCCACATGACCACGGAGACGTCTTCGGACAGCGCTGGCTCTTCGGCTTTGAAATGGAGATGAGCACCACCCCCTAGAGTCAGGAACGACTAGCACATATATGCGAGGGGAACCTTTACCTATTGTTGTCCTTGTTAGATATATATTGTGAATGACTTGAGAATTAGATGGCAGTCTCCATTGAGGGATAAGTTTAACTTCCTCGCATTTGGGCTCTACTATTAGTAGTAGGGAAGAGCCCTCGTCGTTACCTTGTTTGGAAATTCTCTCATTTGCTGAACTAACAGATTTTTGTTTGTTTGAAGGTACATGGGAATAGGACTCTCTGCCCAAGGTGTCAACATGAACAGACTTCCTGGTGAGTCACTGCTAAGAATTATTTGTGTTTGCTCCTGAGCTGTTTACTGGATTTCTACAATCCAGAAAGAAAAGAAAAGAAAAGAAAGTTATCTCTGGAATCCATGGGCAGCCTTTTTTTTTTTTAAGAGAACGTTGCTTGAATTGCAAAAATAGGAGTCGTTTATATTTCCATATAGTGGGGGAAATTAATAATTTGCATTAATAATTTGCTTAATGTAACCAATTGTATTAAAACAGATTTGGCATCAGGACTTGGTATCAGAGCATTTCAACCTCCCAGGGAGATTGCTTAAGAGCAACCTCAGGTGAAAAATTCTTGAGGTCTTCCATCTCAAAAGATTGGAAAGCAGTCAGGCAAACACAGCAGTTAATTGATAGGGCATTCCTAAAATCTCACATGTAATCTGCATCACCAGCCTACCTCCCCTTTCCTTTGCCCGCCCACCACCCCAATTTAAATCCTCTGTAAGTCTAGGCCGGTGTTTTTCAACCGTGGCAACTTGAAGGTATGTGGACTTTACCTCCTAAAATTTCCCAGCCAGCCATGTATGGATTGAAGTCCACACATCTTCAAGCTTCCAAGCTTGAGGAAAAACTGGTCTAGCCACTCTAGGCACATCTGATGAAATAGGCTACAGTTCATGAATAATATCATTTGTTAGTGGGGAAAAGGGTGCTCTAGAACTTTTGATTTATTTTATTTTTTGCCACCAAGGATTAACACAGCTTTCCTTTAATCACTTGAACCAAAGCTTTGTTTCTGTGGTTAGATACGATATGCCCATCCTATATTTGTAAATTCATTACTTTGCCGCCCTCGTGGCTGGGATGTTTGTTCCAAAAATAAGTGAAGCTGAATGTGCCAAGCAGTTCTAGTTTCCCCCCCCCTCTTCTTCTTGACTTCCATCATTTGCTCTTGAATCTTTCGTTTCTGTGCCTTTACCCCCAAGGTCAGTGCCCCCCCTCCCCCCCAGCATTGCTGTTTTTATTTCTGCACATTCAGCTTTGAATTTCTTTTTGCTAAATGTAAAGAAATATTTTGTGATTTTATACCCTCTTTAGATGGGGCAAGAATGGGTAACCCTTTTGTTAAGGGTCTTAGTTTATACATTTTTCTGTGGGCCACAGCAGATGAGGGAATAATGGAAAGTGGACAAGGGGGCATGTGACAGCTGAGAGAGTCCACTTTTATTGGATTGTGGGGAACGGGTATTTTTAATGGTGATAAAACTTTCTTGAAGTTATAGATTATGCATGGACGGTTATAATGAAACATCGCCATTCTTTATGAAGCTGTTATTGTAAAACTTTGTAAGCACATAAATATATTAATGAAATTCCTATATTCCTATAGAGTTTATTTCTTATTTTTCTTTTGCTATTTTTTGCTTTTATTTAAATACATAATGCAATTTTAAAATAAAATTACCAGATCTGGCATACAAAAAACTTGGACCAATGGCTATTTGCAGCTATCTAGTAGCTGTCTGGATTTTTGCAAAGTCCGGACAATTACTAAATAGCTGCAAATAGTCTATATTTAGGTCCTTTTAGCTCTAAAAATTGCTAACAGTTTTCAACCGTGATAATCCAAAAAGGCTCCAGGTCTATAAAAAGTGGATTCAAGGATTGGATGCAACTCTGGGTCACCAGATTTCCCACAATGAATTAGGATGCTTGGATTAAACTAGATGCTCATATTTATAGAACTGCCCGTCTGTGCTATTTATTGATGGCAATTTTATTTAGATCAACGGTTTTTCTAACGTAGTTAAAATGGAACGTTTTGGTGCCAATACAAACTTTTCTCTCTATTCTTTTTTTTTTTTCCAAAGAATTTTAACCTTCTCTTTAGTTAGAAAGCTTTGAAAGCAGCTTCAGGATCTCTAAGAAAAGATCATCCCCTTGCTTTACAATCTAAAATAAGAAAAATATATTCTAAAGGCTTCCCCTCCCCCCCCCAAGGGGCAACTGGATTTTGTTTTCCCTTGAAGACATTTCACTTCTCATCCAAGAAAGCTTCTTCATTTCTGACAGAATGGTTGAGGATGGAAGGATTTATATTCCTGGCAGTCCTCTGGTTGTTAGCACACTTTCCGAGAGTCATTATGGCCATTTGGATGATGGAGAATCTCCATAGACAAGGAAAAGTATAATAAAGAGGGAAATTGCCAAACTGAGATGCCGTTTCTTCAGCAACCACCTAAGATGGACAAGGCTTTAAATAATGATGATCTAGCAGCAGCTGTTTGGAGAATCCAAAACCTGTTGGTTTTTTTAGCTGATGAAATAACTTCTCTTGGCTCCTTCAGCTTTTAGTCTCATGGAACAAGCAGCTTTATCACTATAAATTGGAAGCAGATGGTAAAATAATGCTACCCTAGGTTTTCAGGGAGATTTCCCTGTCTTGGAAGTTTCTTGTTTGGCATCTGCCCAGCCCTCATTTTGCCTTCCTCTTACATTTCCTCACATTTGGGAGTGAAACTCTTCATAGTAGAGGGATTTATTTAGTCCTCGGCTGAGCCAATGCATGTATCGTGCCTCCTCAGCGAAACGCACATCCCATTGGAAATGATGCATATTTGGATGCTTGTCCCAGCATTAGAAAATCTTTGGCAACAGATACGGCCTCTGGCATTAGGAAAACCTCTGACATTTGTAAGCGTTGTGAAATTACTATTATTACTTTCATTGCCGAAATAAGGTTGAAAAGGTTCGAAAAAACAGGCTGGCAGTTCAGTTCGACACTGAACAGTTCAGATATTTCTTTAAAAAAAAACACAAGTTCTGTTTAAACCTGTCTAAATTTTTTTTTATGCACATGACTTAATTTGGGATTCTTATATTTCAATATGTGGCTCTACTTTTAAATCCTGGCATCTGTCTCACGTACCAACGAATCATTAGTGCTTAATTGCAGCTTCTTTCTTAATCTAAAATTGCACATGCTTAGTTGCAAGAAGTCATGTAATTGACAGCATCAGGTGAGACCTGTGAACACGTGATGGGCGCTCCATGCAGACCTTTGAGGCTGCCTCTGGAATTGAATATCTTTGAGGCTGACGATGACAAACGTATTTGGTTGCCGCTTCTGACATAATGGCCATTCATTTGTTCAGATTGCTGGGCTATCCAGCTTTTCCAGTAACATCTTCCTGACATCACTAGAAAGGACAGATGATTGAATGCAGCTGTTTGCAAAACACAAATAAGGTTACCGTTCTATATGCCTGTTTAAGCTGATTTGGAAAAAGGTGTTGATTTACAACCAGCAACTCTGATGGGAAAACAGATACTCCACTTATTGTTTTGGGCACCTGGGGTCTTTGTTGAGGTTCAGATCTGTAAATGGTCAGAGGGTATAGTAAAGTCCAGTTTTTAACAGATTCTGTTAAAGCTAAAAGTTCATAAAATTTGAATTTACATGATTGGCATAATTTATATCGCGGTACATTATTTGCATTGTTTTACGTCATCTCCTCTGTTTGACACCATTTGCGTGACGTAAGTTCCATGTGTTTGTCTTGCTTTGGAAAAAGTGGACTTTGTCTATTATTTGTGGGTGGAATCCAAAATTACGTATGCAGCATCCGAAGGTAGCTGAATGCAAGTCCACAAAATTGAATTTTACTGTACTTCGGAAATCTTGTTCTCCAAATATAAATAAAGCAGTTGATGATCTGATCTAATGTGCTTTATGCAAAAGGAACCAATGATGACTTCACTCCCACGTAGGGAGCAAAATTTATCCTAACAATTGTCATTATTAAGAAGAGACAGAAGTGTTGTTCGGTCACATGCCAGCACACCTTTTGTGTGGGTTTATATATTATGTCTTATCATGCCTGTGAAGCAGGGTGGATAAAAATCAATGATTTTTTTAAAAAAATCAAAAAAAACAGATTTTTTTGATTTATATCGGATTTTTTTGATTTTTATCGAATTTATTTTAATAAAAAACTTTTGGGGTAAAAAATCTATCGTAAGACAGTTTTCTATTTAAGATACATAAACAATTTAGTTTATTCAGCATGAAATGGAGCTTAGTTATGTAGCATGAGGCTGTATATTCTGCAACACTGGGACTATCGGTGAGTCAACAGTGGGTCAAAGGAGTAGCAGAGATGACAGTTGCTCTTTAAAAATTATGATTTAAATCGAGTTGATTTAAATCAAGCCTTTTTACTAGTGGTTTAAATCATGATTTAAATTGTGATTTAAATCAACTCGATTTAAATCAAATCCACCCTGCTGCGAAGTACTTTTAATAGTGGCTAGCTTATTACATCCGGTGAGATTCGTGGCTAAGCCTGAATTATAATGTCTATTCTGTAAATTGCTGACCCAGCATATCTGGAGGGCACCATGTTGGAAGGTTGATGTAAATTAGAACTCAGAATGGCATCTTGCTTCATGTAGCTATTACAGCAGGGGTATCAAATTCGATTTCATTGAGGGCCACATCAGGGTTGTGTTTGACCTCGGGGGAGGGTGCATGGCCAGCTCGACATTACTCGTGTCGGGGGCGCTGTGGAGACCGGAGCACTCTGCCAGCGAAAACAGGCTCCCGAGCTCCGTTTTCGGCTGCGACGGCCTCCTGCAATCCTCTGCCAGCGAAAATGCAGCTCGTGAGGGTTGCCCGCGGCTCTCCCGAGCTCTTGTTTTTGCTGGCAGAGGCACCATGGGCCTCTGCTGTTTCCAGGACAGCCCTGCGGGCTAGATCTAAGCACTGTGCGGGCTGGATCAGGTCCCTGGGCCTTGAGTTTGATACCCCTGTATTACAGGGTTGCAAGCAATGTTAGTCATCAATAGCAGCAGCATTTATGGATTTTTTTTGTTGGTGAATTGGTGGACTTAGAATGACAACTATAATGCATAAAAAGGATGAGTGGTAGTGTTTTTATATTGCGGTATAAACCTCTCTATACCGTCTCTGAATTGTTCTAAATGTTTTGGAGATTGTAGAAATGTACAGTGCTATCTAGTGACTACGGAGCCAAAACAAGAATCTAATTTGGAGGGTTTAGGAGTTCTTCATAATTCGGCATGATTAAAACCCATACTTTTCACAGTTCTATGATAGACTGTCTGAATAATGTAATATAGTAGTCCTTGTTTAGTGGACTGTTCATAGTGATGATGGTGGTGAAAAAGTAATTTGGCTTCCCTTGCAGCCTTTCGTTGATATAAAACAGAAGCAAATCACTATTGTGAATAAGGCCTGGCAGGTTTCTTAAGCAGGCTCATTCATTTGCCTCTGAAGATTTTTAGCTACAATTTAATATATCAAAACTATAGCCAATTGTTTGTTTTTTCTGGTGCTTAAAACGTGGTGTGGAACTGAAAGTTAGCCATAGCAGATGAATTCAGAGGGCTCCAAAAGGGTGTGGTAACGTATTCTGGAAAATGCTGGGGATTCCAATGTTAGATTGTCATCTGGATGTTCATTCCCCAAATCACTCTTTTAAAAGTAAGATGTATGTACAAGCATTCCTAAACTTATAGTTATAGGTTTGGGTGTGTTAAGGATCAAGTAGGTCACCCTGTCCCTGTTTAATTCTGAAACTAAATATAAGCTGTTTTCAGGTGGAGCACTTTAGAGTAGCTATGTGTCACTGTCCTTTCAGATAAGGGTGTTGACAGCAATTGGAGCAACCTGACAGATACCAGCAGGAGCATATACTGTATATTTTTATGTGCTCAAACCAGTGGTGGGTTCCTCCCGGTTCGGCGGAGCCGGTAGCGGTGACGATATGACATCATCGAACCGGTTCTCTTTGTTCGGGAGCTCCCCCCCCGCGTTATTCTTACCTTTTATTTGGCCCCGCCCCCAATCAATTCGCTGCCTCCCAAGTCCCAGCTGATCGGCTAGAAGGAAAAAAACTGTTTAAACTTTTGCCGCAGGGCTTCAAAGGGCCGCCCTACAGCTGATCAGTGTTAAAAGGCAGTGTGGTGGTAGACCAGTGCGCTCCAAGAACAAATGGGTAGACCGGTACAGCTCTGCAAGCAGTTAAAAGCCTGGTAGACCAGTACCTCTGCTAAATCTTAAAGAATTGTCACATGACCATCAAACCATGCCCACAAAATAAGCCACGCCCACAGAACAGGTAGTAAAAATATTTAGAACCCACCCCTGGCTTAAACCTGCGTGTTTGAATAGAGCTTGATCTCCATGATATTTTAACCTTTGGAGTTCCTTTTGTAGCAGTGAGAAGAAAACCGTTCCTGCTAACAAGCAATTCTAGCATAACGTGATTATAGGACTACTCTGAACCTAGGTATTTACGAAATGGAAGAGAGCTACCATATTGCCAGATTTCATTCTGGGTGTTTCATAAATTTTAACTATGGCTAAATCAATCTGGACTTAAAACACTAATTTCTGTTTGTCAAGCTTTTGGCCTTTAGGCAATGTCCTAGTATTTTTGGCTTCAAGGTGCAAGGACTTTTTATCCTGAACATCCAGCTCCTGTGCCAGGGACTGCTTGCGGTACAGCAGAATATATTTAGTCCATGATTACTTGATTGTGGATTGTGCAACATGATGCTTCAATACTTCCTTGACTGGAAACCGTGGTTTATGTTGAAAGAGAACGAGAAAAACAATGTCTTACAAACAATGTATGTGGCTAAACATACATCTGTGGAAGCCACACAAAAGCTCATCCTGTGACTATGACACTTCAGAATAAACGAAGAGGCCTTTAGCTCAGATCCAAAAATACCGCATAGGCTTTAGTGGAGGATCCTTTGAGTTTCTTAAAGAGGAGTAGGTATTTAACTGGTTTGGCCTATGATCAATGATCAACCCAGTCTTTGATCAACCCAGTCTTTTTTTGGCTGCCTTTTCCTTTGGTTTGCATGCAGCCACAGTCAATTTTTGGTGTAATTACCTGAATTGTTTTATATGCTTGAAAGGGGCTCCTGATTAATTTAGACTGCTTGTATACCACCCATGAATGCCAACATGGCTTCTTAATTTCTTAAGTACTATTAAGTGATTATGAAGGGAATAGAGGATTGTGTAATACAGATCCTGTATTAAGGTCGGATTTATGATTAGAACTGTCAGGAAAAGACAAATTCATGAAGAAGAGGCAGCCATGCTGTAGTTTAGGCAGCCTATCTGCATAAGACAGGGGTGAGCAAATGTGGCCCTTTTACAACCTGTGGACTTCAACTCCCAGAATTCCTGAGACAGCTTGGCTGTGGACTTCAACTCCCAGAATTCCTGAGACAGCTTGGCTGTCTCAGGAATTCTGGGAGTTGAAGTCCACAGGTTGTAAAAGGGCCACATTTGCCCACCCCTGGCATAAGAGTTCTGTGGACATGTAGGATTTAGATTCCTACGATTTTATTTGGATTGAAAACTAAAAAAAAAAACCCCACAGCCTGAACAATACTTTCTTCACTGGTTTATATCGCCATCTTGTAGAGAGGAAGGTGTTAGGGTTATATTGTAATTTCTAGAAATAACATATAGTTCTTGACTTACGACCACAGTTGAGCCTGAAATTTCTGCTACTAAGTGAGACGTCGCAAAAACCCCCGATCCCATGACCCTAGGACACCGCAACCTTCCTAAATAGGAATCGGCTGTCAAGCATCTGAATTTTGATCACTTGATCATGGGGGATGCTGCAGTAGTTGTTAAGTGTGAAAAACAGTCATAAGTCACTTTTTTTTCAGTGCTCTTGTAATTTTGAATGGTCACTAAACGAAGTGTTGTAAGTCTTGAACTACCTGTAACAGGTGTTCCCCCCCCCAATCCATAGTTTTAGTCACTCAAATCTTATTTTTGCCATGATAAACAATTTTCCATTTTCTGGCTTCTGTGTGTTTGGAATAAGACAGCTTATTGTGCTTAAGGTAGGACTAGAACTCAGGACTCCTGGGTTCTATATTGATGTCTTAATCACTACGTTATTGCTATATTTTTATTTTTATTTTGTATGAATTGTTTTATTTACAACTGTTATTGGTTTTTTAAAAAATTAATTGTATTATTTGCATTAATTGTATTATTATCCTATTTTTTTTTTTAACCAAGCCTTTTTGGCTTCAAGCTTTTTGAAATCCACATTGCCTTACCAGCTATGCCGGTCAGGGTGGGGGGTGGGGTGAAATGATGAGAACTGTAGTACAACAGCTCTCCTGCGTGAGCAGCGGGTTGGACTAGATGACCTCCAAGGTCCCTTCCAACTCTGTTACTGTTGCAATCACTCCCCCCCCCAATTATCTTCTAAATGTCCTCACAGAACATTCTGACTCCTAAACAGCTTTTCCAAGCACTCTGGGAGTGGTTCAACCTTGAAAAGGGCCACGTTCCAATCCTTGTGGGGTGAGAACATTCCATGAAGAATGTCTTGCACATACTAGAATCCTCCTGCATTATTAATGCAGATGCTGGACATTTCCTAATGATGTCACCTATGAATCTCTTACTTCCCGATGTCAAGCATGTCACGTTCTAACCACGAGTTCTTTGTTTACTCTTTTTCTTCCGTTTAGGTTGGGATAAGCATTCCTACGGCTACCATGGCGATGACGGACACTCCTTCTGCTCGTCAGGGACAGGGCAGCCCTACGGCCCCACTTTCACTACTGGCGATGTAATTGGCTGCTGTGTGAACCTCATCAACAACACCTGCTTCTACACAAAGAATGGGCACAGTTTGGGTAAGCAGATGGAGCGCTTGGTCCAGTTTTCTCCAACCTCACTTGAAATGTTAACGTGATCATAAGGTCCCTATCAGAATTTGGTTCCATTCAAAGACTTTGGTTCCGATCAAAGTGATTGATCGTATAGTCAGAACAGTATTAACAGAATAACAGAGTTGGAAGGGACCTTGGAGGTCTTCTAGTCCAATCCCCTGGTTAGGCAGGAAACCCTACAGCACTTCAGACAAATGGTTATCCAGCATCTTCTTAAAAACTTCCAGTGTTGGAGCATTTACAACTTGTTGTTCCACTGATTAATTGTTCTCACTGTCAGGAAATTTCTCCTTAGTTCTAAGTTGCTTCTCTCCTTGATTAGTTTCCACCCATTGCTTCTTGTCCTGCCCTCAGGTGCTTTGGAGAATAGCTTGACTTCCTCTTCTTTGTGGCAGCCCCTGAGATAATGGAACACTGCTATCATGTCTCCTCTGGTCCTTCTTTTCATTAAACTAGAAATACCCAATTCCAGCAACCGTTCTTCATATGTTTTAGCCTCCAGTCCCCTAATCATCTTTGTTGCTCTTCTCTGCACTATTTCTAGAGTCTCAACATCTTTTTTACACCGTGGTGACCAAAACTGGATACACTATTCCAACTGTGGTCTTACCAAGGCAACTGTGTTGGCTTTTTTGGCAGCTGCAGCATAGTCTCCTGGCTCAAATTTAAGTGATTATCCACTAAGATCCCTCTCACAGTTACTACTGTTGAGCCAGCTATCACCTACAGTATATTATACCTGTGCATTGGTTTTTCTTGCCTTATTTTTTTCACCGTTAAATTTCATTTTGTTAGATAGCACCCAAGGTTCAAGTCTGTCAAGATCCTTCTGTATTTTAAGCCTGTCATCTGGAGTGCTGGCTATTCCTGCCAGCTTGGTGTCATCTGCAAATTTGATGAGTTCTCCTTGTATCCCCTCATCCAAATCATTGATGAAGATGTTGAAGAGTACTGGGCCTAAAACAGAGCCTTGAGAAGAGCATGAGAACTCCTTTCTCATGCAGTTACCGTCACATTATATGGCTTTTTCAGTTGTGTGGCCCATCTGCCACTTATTTCTGTATGTGCAGTAGCTTCTTCATTCAGATGGAGTTAAAATAACCGTCAATATCTTATCCTGTCCCCTTTCCCCAACAGAAAAGGACCCTTCTAACATTGAAAACAAAGTTGAATATACAATAAGGATCTTCCCTCGTAGGATATGCTTTTAACCTGGGAGACTCTCCTCTGTGCACAAAACAAAGCCAATAATATTCATAGTGCTGTGATGCATTCTGTTTTTTGTTGTTGTCTGCTATGTGCCTTAGAAATACAGCCATAGAAAAGACAGAAGAAATGCTTTCATGGAGCATCAGATAAAGAAGCAAACCTCTCTGAGTAATGTAGTACTTAAAACTAAGACTCTGAAATTTATGAGTACATTTGTCAAAGCATTTGAGTTACAAAATTTGACAGCCATTCCCTGCAACTCCCCTTTATCCACTGTTCAGTGTTTTGCTTCATGCAAGCTTTTGGGGGAGTATCACTCTAGCACAGGGGTCAGCAACCTTAAACACTTCAAAGAGCCACACACATTCTAACCAGAAGCCCCCATTCAATTCTGGAGTCAATCAGAAGTCTGGTTCCCCCACCATAGAGTGTCCTCCTACACCGTGTCTTTCTCTGGTAGCAATTCCCAGAAGTTCCAGCTGGCTTGGCCCAAAGTGTTCTGGGAAATGGCAGTCCTGTTACACTGAGAAAGTGTGAAAAAGCCACTCCAGAAGCCAATGCCTATTTGTAAAAGAATCTGCTGTTATTTGGGGGGACAATATAATCCTTTTGCAGCATTTGAGTTATTTCCATTAGCAACCGCATTGCAAATTCTTTTTAAAATATCCCAGTCTTCTCTGTATGTTTCTGGTCATCCTTTCCTATATGTGTTAAAATTGATGTGCTTGTCTAAAAATGGAAGCAGTGGCTGCTACTGTGGTGATAGATTTATCTTGCCCATGGAACAACTGTGTCACCAATGAGAGAAAACCTATACAGTAGTGTCAATCCCACTGAGAGTTAAACTTTCAGAAAGCTGTTTGCAGCAGGAAAGGAGACAGAGAATGTACTCTCTTCCCAATAACCTGACCCTCACTCATGTATTCTTGTGCTGGTGCAGATTGACTCAAATCACTCAGGCCAGTGAGATGGGCAGCTTATAAATTTAATACGGGTAGCCCTCGACTTATGACCACAATTGAACCCCAAATATCTGTTACCCGAGACAGTTGATAAGTGAATTTTAGTCCATTTTATGACCTTTCTCGCTACAGTTGTTAAGTGAACCACCCTGCAGTTAAGTTAGCAATTCTTAGTTGTTAGTTGTTAAGTGAATCTGGCTTCCCCCTTGTCTTTGCTTGTCAGAAGGTCGCAAAAAGGGATCACATGGCCCTGGGACACTGCCACCGTCATAAATATGAGCATCTGAATTTTGACCACGTAACCTTGGGGATGCTATGACGGCCGTAAGTTTGAAAAACCATCATAAAGTCACTTTTTCCAGTGCTGTTGCAACTTCGGAAGGTCCCTAAATGAACTCTTGTACTTTGTTTTCCCGAAAATAAGACCTCCCCTGAAAATAAGACCTATATTTAATATTTAAACACATGTGCAGCTGGTCCCCGCAATTTCCTCTGGTTAGGGTTAGAGAGACAAAGCTGGAAATCAGGTAAGATGGCAAGAGGATACCCGTCTCACTCCACACGCCCCAAAATAATAAGACCTCCCTGAAAATAAGGCCAAGCGCTTATTTCGGGGTTCAAAAAATATAAGACAGGGTCTTATTTTGGGGGAAACACAGTAAGTCGAGGACTGCCTGTAAATAAAAGCATAGTCCATATTTGTAGCATTTTACCAAGTACTGGAGGAGAAAAATCCAGTTCCCGTTCCTGCAGCTTTCAAAATCAAGGCCATCGTAGTAACCAGCGATTGTTATCGAAAAGAGAAAACCACAGATAACCAGCTTAAATGCTCTGTGCACAAATAGCCTTGTAGGTAGTTCACTTTCCTTAAACAGCAGGGAGTGGTGAATGCAGCCACATTTTAAAAATAACATCTCCAACTGGGGAAGGGTGGGGTGTTATCTTTGGGCCCAGAAATATTTGCTTCCTATGCACCGCGCCGAGTTATGTTTGCCACGCTCTGTCCTTTGATTCTGACTTTACATCAGGGGTCTCCAACCTTGGGAACTTGAAGCCTGGCGGGCTTCAACTCCCAGAATTCCCCAGGGTCCTACCGGAAGTTGGCAAACCGGCCGTTTCCGGCCTCCGGAGGACCTCTGGGCGGTGGAGAAGGCCGTTTTTGTCCTCCGCAAGCTCCTAGAAAGGCTCTGGAGGCTGGGGAGAGAGAAAAACAGGCCTTCCCCACCAACCCCCGAGGCTCTCCGGAGGCAGGAAACAGCCTGTTTCCCTACTTCCAGTGGGCCCAAAAGGCCCAAAAATCAGCTGGCGCATGCCGGACCGGAGCTTGCGTGCCCACCAAATATGGCTACACATGCCACCTGTGGCATCCGTGCCATAGGTTCGTCATCACAGACCTAGCCTGTTTGTGGCAAGATAATTTAGAGGGCAAAGGTTGAGAAGCTAAAGTTGAAACGTAATTTCTACTGCTGATTGGGGAATTAGCTTTACATTCTCCTCCCCCGTAACGTCTGAAGTAGCAGAAGAAGAAAAAAAAATTACTCCAGGCATTTGCACTACTTGCTTCAAATTAAGATTAAAAGTTCAGATCGACATTCAGCACCCTTCTGCTCCGTTCTGTTAGCAGAGATATACCAGGGTGTGACTTCCTGGAAAAATGACAACCTTGGCATATTCAGTCATCTGTATAAATGCCTCTTCTTTTTCCTTTGACTCACTTGGTGCATTTACTCAGCTGTAGGATCAGCAAAGATACTTCCGTTGCATGCTGCTTTGTTCCTTCTCCTAGCAGTGGGTTGCTTAATTGACTCCTGTAAAATTATTTTAAAGCCAACAGACTTAAAAACAAACAAACCCAAGAGCGATTGCTCTGAAAAAGGCTACTTCTGAAGCCCGAATTAACAAATATGATTTAAATTACTTACCTCCCTTTCTTTGCCTTGATTTCATTTCTGCGCAAACAAAACAAAAAACCACACCGAAAAAAAATCTAGCTCAGATCTTCAGCCTTATTTTCAAAAGAGCTAAATATATTGAGAATTAGTGCAGGTCTGCGTCCATTAAAAAGTTTTGCCATTTCAGTTATTTATCAATTTTCTACACCTCCCGTCTCACCTAAGTGATTGGCCAGTTTGCAATAACTGTTTTACAGAAGATGGGAGTAAGAAGTAGAATTTTGTGCCTATTTACTCTGATCAGTTCCTAGATGAGCATGGATACTGTTTACTGGACCCAGATTTCAGAATCGGCATACAGGACATACAGGTAGTCCTTGACTTACAATAGTTCAGTGATGGCGAACGCGCGGAAACGTTGCTCGTCAGGGCCATGCTCCGGAAAAGCTGAGCTTCCGGGTTCTAGTGTGCATGCACACCCGACAATCAGCTGGCTGGCGCGCATGAGTAGGCCGGTTTTCGGCACTGCTGCACACGCAAAGGAATCATACTCCAGAAAAGCCAAACTTCTCGGCTCTGGTGCATAGGTGCACCCGACAATCAGCTAGCACACGCACACACTGGTTTTCGGCCCTGCATGCGTGAAGGAGAGCTGATCATTGTGCGTGCATGCTCACCAGAAACCCGAAAGACAAACAGGCAAAGGCCATGTGTGCTGGGCAACATAGCTTCGCATGCCACTTTGGGCACGCATGCCATAGGTTCGCTATCCCGGCAATAGTTCATTTAGTGACCGTTCAAAGTTACAACAGCACCGAAAAAAAATAACTTACGACCATTTTTCCCACGTATGACCATTGCGGCATCTCCATGGTCACGTGATTTGCATTTGGCTGCTTGACAGCTGGTTCATATTTATGACTGGTACAGTCTCACAGGGTCACGTGATCCCCTTTTGCGACCTCCTGACCAGCAAAGTCAATGAGGAAGTCGGATTCACTGAACAACCATGTTCCCTAATTTTAACAACTGCAGTGATTCGCTTAACGAATGTGACAAGAAAAGTCGTAAAATGGGACAAAACTCACGTAACGAACTTCTTGCTTCGCCACATAAATGCTGGGGGCTCGATTTGCGGTCATAAGTCAGGGACTACCTGTGCGCAATAAATCAGAGAATGGATTAGAGATGTCTTTTATTGCTCGCCAATTCAATATTTGCTCACCGTATTTGTTGCTACACACGGTGTGTACCACAAATTCAGGTTTTAGGGTAATGAGGGAAAATCCTTCGCCCTGACTTTAATATTTTCTCTTTCCACAGGTATAGCCTTCACAGACCTTCCTGTAAGTACAACTTTTGTTCTATATTTAACAAAGATTGAAAACATGGCGGTGGGAAGTGGGGAGAGGTGCTTGGAATTTGTCTTCTCCTTGTGTGCCATCTGGAAGTGGTTAGCATTAGGCTAGTAGCTTAGATGGAGCTCCCATGGCAATAAGAAAGGCAGGTTTTTTTAAAGAGAAATTAGTTCCCCCACAAGTTTTGCCTTCAGAAAGGGGGTTTGGGGGGGGGCAAATTGTGAGCAAAAGTTTTTCCACACATTGTAAGATTTTATATATATATAATTTTTTTGAGAAGCAATTTGGCAAGGATGCTCTTAAAATAAGCAACACGGGACCTTAACCTGAAATGAAAATAAGCTGTTTCTGCTGCTGCTTTCGCTGCTTCAAGTATACTAAAAATAACCTACACCTTGGTGAATTGTTAAAGCAAGAATACAATCGGTAACCAAAACGGAAATTCCTAGATTCTGAATAAAAACACGTCTGGAGTGCAGGCATTTTCTTGAATCGCTTGTTGGCCTGGAAATGAATCCACTGACTTCAGAGGCCATCGTAAATCAAGCTTGGAAGCTTTTCGTTCAGCAAGTTTTAAAAGTTTTACCAAATGTTTACCACAGGTAGCGAGATCATGTGTACGGACTGAGATTAATTTTTGAGAGGATTTATGAAGATGATTCTTTGAAAGCTGCTTATTCTTGAGCATTTTGCTCTTGAATGCCCATAAAGATATATATATATTGGTTGAGCTTCAATTAACTCCACAGTGTAGGCATAAAAGGTTTTAATCTTTAAAAATGACAGATGAATAGGGGGTTGGCATATTTTTATTTATCGCCTAGGCTTGTGACAAAAAGAAAGCAACCACATATATTGTTAGAGTGTGATACATTGCTCTTTTTTTTTACATCATCAACAGACCTCCAGATTTGATACAAAATGTCTTTAGGTACTGAAAAAGTCCCTGAAATTGGATAGGGGAAAAAAAAAACACTTTGCAAATAAACAAACAACAGAGGCCAGCACCATTGACTCAGCTACCCTGCAACAGATTTGTTTTGCAGCTGAAAATAGAAGTCTGAATTTTGACTGGATGAGAAACTCACGCTTATTTCCAAATCGGAGGAGTTTCATTCCAGTTTTCTTCAGCAGCGTGCCTTTCTAAGCGGTTTCCGAATGTGGCACCTTGAAAGATAACTCCTTGCACCATGCTTGTCCCAGTCCCAAAGTTAACCAAACTGTTCAAAATGTCATGTGAAAATACAGCACGTTAATTTCTCCTTTGGAGAACAGTTAAAATGCTGTATATTATAGGATTTCTGTCGAATGAAGCATACACTGCAGCTACAACTTGCTACAGTTTCATTGTCTGCGTTTTGGAAAATTGATAGCCCCTTCAGATGTCTGTAGTCTCCTTATCTAGGTATACTCCTAAGATCCTAAACTGCAAACAATCACTTTTAATTTTGAGAAATGTTTCTTGTACAGGTAGTCCTCGACGTACGACCAAAATTGAGTCCCAGATTTCCTTTGCTTAGCAAGACGGTTAAATGAATTCTGCCCCATTTTATGACCTTTGTTGCCACAATTGCTAAGTGAATCATTGCAGTTGTTAAGTTAGTAAGACGCTTGTTACAGTAAATGAATCTGGTTTCCCCGTTGCTTTTGCTTGTCAGAAGATCACAAAAGGGGATCACACGATCCCAGGATACATGCCAGTTGCCAAGTGCCCGAATTTCGATCAGGTGGATGCTGCAACGATCGTTTTAACAGTTGAGATGGTTGTGTCATTTTTGTGTGTGTGTGTGTGCCGTTGCAACTTTGAACGGTCACTAAACGAATGATTGCAAGTGGCAAGGACTACCTGTATTATTACGCTGACTTCTTCCCAAATGGTTTTCAGGGAAAGCCATTTTCTGCAAAGCACCCATCGTCTGGCCAGGAAGCCCCTTGTTCAGGCTTCCATCACGACCCTCTTCAAAAGGAAGGGGGGGGGGAAATGTATGTCTCTGCTTTCTTTCCTTAAAGAGCCCGGGTTTTTTAACTTGGGCTTCTTTTTTTGGCAGGCCAATCTATATCCCACTGTGGGGCTCCAGACACCCGGAGAGATTGTGGATGCCAACTTTGGGCAACAGCCATTTGTGTTCGACATTGAAGACTATATGAGAGAGTGGCGAGCAAAGATTCAGGGCACGATTAAAAGGTTTCCCATAGGTGACCGGCTAGGGGAATGGCAAGCCATGCTACAGAAGTGAGTGGCAGCTTGGATTGCCTTTACGTTAAATTCACAAGAACGTTTCTGCTGTAAAATGACATCCCTCCCCAGTCTTAGTTTATTGGGTTTTTTTTTTTTTTTTTGGTTTCCCTGAAAGAGCAGAGGGGGTCCTTACCTTAAGACGAACAGGAGGAGCTAGCTGCTTTCCTTGCACCTTGTTTGTAGCTGATGGGTAGCACAGATATGCTGCTTGCCTTTATGTCTAGTTTGATCCTTGTTTCTTCCGTTAGGTTGAGAGATGAGAGTTGAAGGGAAGGTGGGGATTTGCCAAAAGCCATGTGCTCTTTTGTACAGCCAAATCACAAAAGAAACGAAGGAAAATCAAACCTCATATAGATGTATGCCCTGAGCAGAAGACTGCCCTGCTACTCCTAGTAGAATATCTAGATGAAAGCAGGACAAGTTCAGCAAATAGGCCAACTTTTATCCCTGGGTTTTTTTTTTTCCCAATAAAGAAAACACAGGTTTTATGAGCCAGCTGCAGATATATTGAAAAATTAGGCAGTATTTCATTTCAGATTTCTAAAAAGCTTCCCATAGAAGTATTTCCAGGTCGCTTCTATAGCAAGATATTGACTGAACGCATCAATGTTCTTTCTTCCCCTTGCTTTGCGATTCACACAAAGAGGCATTAGAATCAAGGAGGTTGAACAGATTCTTCACACTTAATACATAAAGATCTATTCTCTTGATTTTAATGAAGGTCAGATGGGCAGTGCCTTCTATTCCCTTCCAAGGAACCTTTTCTTGGCATATTTTGATACTGGGCAGCAAAAGCCAACCACAATAACAGCGTGTGCACAACAAAAAGCCCACGTTAATGTGGCTGTCCTAGAGATGTTTCCCCCTCTCCCCCTTGTGCCCCACTTTTTGTGGAATTTGTACTGACACTGATGTTTTTTCTGTTGCTTGCTTTTTGTATTTCCTAGCATGGTCTCTTCCTATCTGGTACACCATGGATATTGTGCTACAGCCACTGCCTTTGCCCGCGTGACGGAAAGTACAGTCCAGGAGGAACAGGTCTCCATAAAGAACAGACAAAGTAAGCTTGTTCGTATTACCGCTGTAGCTTTCCCTAAATCCTGAAATGTGCAGCTCTCCCCGGCTGCATCATTACTTTGATAAAGCTGTAATTCAGTGGTGAAATGTAAAATTTATTTCTACCGGTTCTGTGGGCATGGCTTGGTGGAGAGTAATGTGACTGGATGGGCGTGGCCAACTTTTTTTTTTGTTTTTTTGTACTTTTACTTTTAAAAGCATTTTTTCCTACAACCTCTTCGGCTGAAGAGGTTGTAAAAAAATGCTTTTAAAAGCCTCTGACGATCCCAGCTGAATTGCCTGATCGTCAGAGGGTTTTTTTTTTTTTTTACTTTTAAAAGCATTTTTTCAGCCGAAGAAGTTGTAGTTGACGGTTGGCTGAGTCCCATGTGGAAGGGTAACCATGAGCGGGGTTGCTGCAGAAAAAACATGAATTGCTGCCATGAATTGCTGATGCACTACAGGTGTCCAAAGATGAACTAATAATGCCTTGAGGATATGAGAATTTGTCACCATTAATTTTGTTCTAATGTTGTTGTTTTTTTTATGCAGCTGACAACACATCCTTCTTTTATGTTCTCACAACTGGGGGAAAATTGCATCTGAATAATGCAGAGGTCTTCAAACTTGGCAGCTTTAAGACTTGTGGACTTCAACTCCCAGCTATGCTATGCTGGCTGGAGAATTTTGGGAGTTGAAGTCCACAAGTCTTAAAGCTGCCAAGTTTGAAGACCTCTGGAATAATGTATCTATTGGTAAACCCAGTTTTATTGCCTGTCTAATGTGAGATGATACCCAACCGCCCGCATCCTAACCGTTTTGCTCTCACCTCCAGGAATACAAAAGCTGGTTTTGGCAGGAAGAGTAGGCGAAGCCATTGAAGCCACCCAGCAACTCTATCCAGGGCTTCTAGAGCATAATCCTAACCTCTTATTCATGCTAAAGTGAGTACGGTGTAAATGCTTTTGTGCAAAGAACAGTGGTGTTTAGAGAGAAAGCAAAAACAGTGACAGAGCAGTAGATGGATTTATAATCTCCTTTTACTCTATAAGCAAGGGGCTGGGGCAGGGGTCAGCTACCTGCGGTCCTGGAGCCGCATGTGGCTCTTTCACCCCTCTGCTGCGGCTCCCCGTCACTCAAAATATGCATCACAACCGCCAATGTGCGACACCTGCCGGCACGTGATTTATTGAGCTTTTCAACCTCCGGTCGGCCAACCATGGATAAATCCAAGAAAAGAAAAGTTTCAGAGGAAAACAAGATTTAATTCAATTACATATGCTAGTTTGTGGCCGCTCAAGAAATATTCAGGCACAGGAAGGGTTTTGTGGCTCCCGGTGTTTTCTTTTCTGTGGGAAACGGGTCCAAATGGCTCTTTGAGTGTTTAAGGTTGCAGACTCCTGGGCTGGGGGTACAGAATGGATTCTAAGAGCCAGTTTGATTTAGTGCAGGGGCATCCAATCTTGGCAAATTTAAGACTTGTACTCCTAATGTTTCCCAGCCAACATGGGGAGTTCAAGTCCACAAGTCTTAAAAGTTGCCAAGGTTGGTCTTCCTTGGTCTGGTAGTTAAGGCACCAGACTAGAAAGCGGGAGACCTTGAGTTTTAAGTCCCTTTTTAGCCATGAAAGCCAGCTGAGTGACTTTGGGCCAGTCACACTCTCTCAACCCAACCCACTTCATAAAAGTAGTTGTAGGGAAAATAGGAGGAAGGTGTGTTGGATATGTCCATTGCCTTGAGTTATTTGTAAATATAATAAAGGCAGGATATACATAGTAAATAAATAAGATCGTCTTTGAATGATGGGTGGCCTGTCGGAGAAAAACTGGAGGGGATAAATCTTCTAAGAAATATGGTTTGACCTGACCCAAATAATTGAAGCTTGCTGCTGTAAATAGCAACCCTTGATATCTTTCCAGATGGAAGGCAGTTTAAGAGGAATCCCTTTTTAGGGAAAGTGAATTGGGATGCTTTCTCAGACAGCTCAGAATAACTTCTCTTTTTTCTCATTTTTGAAAACCAGGCAAGCAGAGACTATAAACTGGTGTCAGTGGTCTCACTTACAGAATGTTTTCCTAAGGGCTGCAGAAAGTTTAAAAGGAAGGCCCTCAGATTAATACCGTGTTTCCCCGAAAATATGACCCTGTCTTATATATTTTTTTGAACCCTGAAATAAGGGCTTGGCCTTATTGCCATGCGCTCAAAAGCCCCATTGGGCTGCTTATCAGGGGATGTCTTATTTGGGGGGAAACAGGGTAGTAATCTAGGAGGTTAGATCCTAGGATCTATAGGATGCAGATCCTATACCACTTTGATGGATGTATTGTACATTTTCCTTCCAATCCTTTGGAACTACGAGCCATTTGCTGTAAGGTCGAACTAAGAATGCTCATTTCTCTGCGTGCTTCTCTGCATGCCGGGTCCAAGATGTAGTTAATGCAGAATATTAATGTGCTATTGTATTTTTTTTTTTTTCTGTATAGTTTCCCACTCACCTGCTTTCCCACCCCTACCCCCTGTGCATCCCTAGGTGCCGGCAGTTTGTGGAGATGGTGAATGGAACAGACAGTGAAGTGCGCTTTTTCAGTACCCGCAGCCCCAAATCACAAGACAGCTACCCTGATTCCCCCAATCTGAGTCCCCGACATGGCTCCAATAATTTGCACATCCACGTCACTGGTAAGCATTCTCTTCTCTCCTAGATAAGTCCTCTCCTTGGCTTTTGTGCTAACTTGGCGCCTATTTTTCATTATCTTTCTGGAAGCTGCTGTCAGAACTTCTTCTCTAAATTCTGCCCAGCGTCTTCAGTAGTGCAGAACCCGCTGATACCCGTTCCATAACTTAGTATGTTTCTGGCATAATAAGCTCTTCAGACAAGAGTTAAGTCCGAGTAAGATTTTGGCAGTGACTTTGTCAAGTCTGGTTATCTCTCTCCTGATTTTAGATTCCTTCTCTGAAGTAGATTGTTACTTGCCCCAGCTCCTGCCCACCTAGTGGTTTGAAGGCATTCAAATGCGAGTAGTTAAACACAGTGGTGGGATCCTTCCAGTTTAACAATTGGTTTGGTGATCGCGTGCTTTGCGCGCGCACAATTCAACAAAAAACCCCCACCTGCGTTAGTTCTAGGGAATTAAAACAGCTGAAGCGCGACAATCCGCTCTGCCGCGCTAATCAGCTGCGAAGAGGCGGGTGGGCAGGCCCAGCTGATCGTCGGAGTGAACCGGTTTGCTCCCAGCTGATCATTGGAGCTACCAGTTCGCCTGAACCGATCTGAACTGGTAGAATCCCGCCCCCTGGATAAACAGCTACCGCTTTGGTGGGAAGGTAACAGCGTTCTGTGTGCCTGGTCCTGCTAGCCATTTGACCACAGAAGTTTCTTTGGACAGTGCTGGCTCTCTCAGCTAAGAAATGGAAATGAACACCACCCCACAGAGTTGGGCACAATTGGACAGGATAAATCTTTACCTTTAGTGGAGCTTAAACTTTTATTTATTAAAAAAGCACTGAATCCCCCAACTTGACTTCTCTTTCTGTCTTCAGGAGCAGACAGCCCAAGCTGTAGCAACGGGGTGACCTCCATCAAAAGCAAACAGAGCCACAGTAAATATCCTGCACTGAGCTCGTCCTCCTCCTCCTCTTCCTCCTCCTCCCCTTCATCCGTGAACTACTCAGAGTCCAACTCAACAGATTCTACCAAATCCCAGCAACACAGCAGCACTAGCAACCAAGAAACCAGGTGAGACAGGTGCTTTCTAGGGCAGAGCCAGGTAATAATCAATTACAGGTAGTCCTTGACTTACGGCCACAGTTGAGTCCCAATATTTCCATTGCTAAGCAAAACAGTTGTAAATGTTGTCAGAATGTTTGCAGCGTGACTACTATTTTGAGACCACCCCAGAAGCAAAATACAGGACACAGAGGTATGTCTTACAAACAGTGGTTTATATACAAGGCTTCTATATACAGACATACAAGCGGTAGGCACATACCAGGCAAGCAATCATTCTTCACCTCTACACGGACAACTACAATGCAGATACACGAGGTGAGAGAGAGAGAGAGAGACGCCCTCTAATGGCCTCCTTTATATACACAGCTTCTTAAAGGGCAATAACCCTGCTGACTCATCCAGTCTTAAAGGGCTGGTCAGCTTTAAATCATCACTCTGACAAATGGGTTTTGTCCCATTTTACGACCTTTCTTGCCACAGTTGTTCAGTGAATCACAGCAGTTGTTAAGCGAGTAATACAGTTCTTAAGTGAATCTGGCTGCCCCATTGACTTTGCTTTTTTGGGAGGTCGCAAAAGTTGATCACACCACCCTGGGACACTGCAACCGTCATAAATATGAGACAGTTGCCAAGCGTCCAAATTTTGCTGACATGATCATGGAGTTGCTGCAACGGTCGTTAAGTATGAAAAATGGTCATAGGTCAGTTTTTCTAGTGCCATGGTAACTTCAAACGGTCGGCTGATCTCTGAGGCCGAGTAGACCAGGCCCAATTAATGTTTGTATAGAACCATCAATTAATTTTATGACTGTGTAGACTATATTGGAAGACCAAAACAATACCACCGAAGACAGTGTCAAACCTCTTCCATGCTGCATCCAAGGATATTCGTGGGGTGGGGGGTGGGGGCATCCAGAAAATCACAGAGAGTCGAAATCAGCTTGAAAGAGTTGTAATATTTTTCATTCCTGTATTGGAAATGGATAAATTTTCAGCTCCTGGATAGATTTCACAATGCTGTATGGGCACCAAAAAAAGACTGGCCGATGAGATTGTTAAGAGGGCTTAGAATCATACAAAGATTAACTTGCTTAATTTGAAGGTAGTATAAATGCCATTTGAGGCCGGCGTCAGATGCTTTTGGGGAATGTTTAGCTTTGGCAACTTTAAGATTTGTGGACTTCAGCTCTCAGAATTCCCCAGCCAGCCATAATTGCTGGGGGATTCTGGGAGTTGAAGTCCACAGGTCTTAAAGTTGGACCCCTTGGGATAATACATAAATTGAATCTGTCTCTACCTCCCTGGATCTATCTGCTGATGTTGAGGACATGCCTTTCCCTCTTTTGGCATTTCTTTCTCTCCTCCCCTCTCCCTCTCTCATGACCTCCATCATCTTCATTCAAGTGACAGTGAAATGGAGATGGAGGCGGAGCACTATCCCAATGGAATCCTGGAGAATTCAGCCACCCGAATAATGAATGGCACTTACAAGCACGAAGAGATCCTACAGACTGACGATTCCAGCATGGGTAGGTCTGGCGGGCATGGAGATAGAAGGAATGCAGTTTGCGAGAAAGCAGTTCCTTATCCAGGGTGGATGAGGTTCCTTATGGAAAATGATTCTACATCAGAAGCTTTTTCCAGGCCATCCATTCATATTCAGGGTAGTCCTCGACTTACAACCACAATCGAATCCAAAATTTCTGTTACTAAGCAAGGCAGTTGTTGAACAAGTCATATACCCAGTGATTTATATGGCTAATAATTTGGGGGGGGGGGGCCTTCAGTAGGTCTGAAGAAGGCAGATGCTTTGATGCCGCACAGGTTTCTGATCCGCTCGTCTGGTTTTCCCCTTCTCTCCAGAAGACGGCTGCCCTCAGAGGCAACTCTGCGGAGGGAACCACGCTGCCACCGAGCGGATGATCCAGTTCGGGCGGGAGCTCCAGATCCTCAGTGAGCAGCTATGCAAAGACTACGGCAAGAACACAACCCACAAAAAAATGTTACAGGTATACACGGCTTGACTGAATTCTTCCCTAGAACGGCTCCTTAATGCAGGGGTCACCAGCCTTTCAGACCTCAGGGACCACTAAATTCATAATTTTAAATCCCGTAGACCACTAACACGATCTGTCTAATGACCGGCTGGGTGGGCGTGGTTAGGTGGTCATGTGACTAGATGGACGTGGCCAACTCGGTGTCACTCACGTCGAAGGGCGCCTCGCCAGCCTCTACTCACCTCTCCCCTCCCAGCCACTCCTCGCCTCCCCGCCCGGGCTCAACAGGAAGCAGTTGTTGGAGCTAAGTAGCCACCACTGCTTAGAGTTGGCAAAACAGCTCAGTTCAAATTGGATCTGACCGAGGAGGCGGCTCAGTAGAAGCACCTCACTGAGGACTACAAGCATAGGTTTTCCAAGCAGAGGGAAGACTTCCCAGCGACTGGTAAGATCCCAGAGTTGGTCTCCTCCGGGTCCCGTTAGCTAAACAATGCCGGCTGGCGGGCCCGCAGGGGAGGGCCTTCTCTGTGGCTGCCCCAGCTCTCTGGAACCAGTTACCTCCTGAGATCCGGACCATCCCCACCCTATTGGCCTTCCGAAAAGCGGTGAAGACCTGGCTTTTCCGGCAGGCCTGGGGCCATTGATCTCGCTGTTGTGATCTTGTGAGATCCGGCCATAAATGGTGTGTATGGGTTTTAATATTTTAATATTTAAATGTTTTTATAATAGTTTTTTTTAAAAAAATGCATTGTAAGCTGCCCTGAGTCTCCAGAGAAAGGCGGCATATAAATTGAACTAATAAATAAATAAATAAGACTTCCAGGAGTGCAAGGCCAGGTGCCGGCGCCTGAAGGCTCAGCGGGCTCAGATGGTCAGTCAGTTCCAGGCCATGATGCAGTCCCACTGGAACAAGGCCCTCCGGCTCTTTGCCACCAGCGGCACTTCCCTCTAGCCTTCGCCCAAAGCCCCACACCAGGAGGCCGAAGCACACCCCAAGTCAGAATTTCTGCCCCCCTCCAACCTGCACAAAAAGACCCCAAAGCGGGAGACTCTCTGCAGCAACACAAACGTTCATTGCACGTATCTGTCCCAGGGGCCGTATTTTGAAGACCCCTGATTTAGTGCAATATAAAAAATGCAAATAATTTTTCTGCAGACCACCCAAATTTTCTCACCAGACCACCAGTGGTCCACGGACCACCAATTGGTGTCCGCTGCCTTAATGCTTCTGTCCTGTCTTATTTCTCTGTGAACAATGTTAAGGTTTTTTAGCATGATTCGTTTTAAAAAGATGAAACCAGGAAGACAGTAAAAAAAACATCATAGAGTTCTCTCTGAGTTTGGTTGTTTTCTTGCAGACATTTCATTACCCAATTAAATAACATCATCAGCGCTAATCTTTTATGTTCCTTTATTAATATGTTCAGCAAGAATTTGTGGAGGAAATAAAATTGTCCCAAGCGATTCAGAGTTTAGGAAACCATCGTTGTCCTTGTCAAAACCATTTAACTCCCTCCCCACTAACAACATAGAATTGGCCTTTGACACCCACCTCTCACCTCTGATGATCATTATTCCCCCTCTGTATTATTTTCCATCTGTGGGGGGGAAAATACTTTTCACTGGTCAGTAGAGGGAGCTATTGCATTATTATTCCATATTATTGAAAGGGGGGGAAATTGTAGCTTATTTAGCTGAGTTACTGTGATCAGAAATTTCCCTCCCTCCCCAGTTTATTTACAGCCTCCCCCAAAAGTATTAATAATATTTGAAATAATACTCAACTGGCTTGGGGAAAAAAAAAAACACTGGCCCTTTACAAATAAAGCCCCTTGGCATGCCCTTACTAGCTCTTTGTGCCCTCTGCTATATTCTTAGACAACCTGGTGCCTTCAAGATAGGGTAGGGCACTGTATCAAAGTAATCTTGAAATCATGGGAGTTGTAGTCTGGAGCAGCAGTCACCAATTGGTGGTCCGTGAGAAAATTTTGGTGGTCCACAGAACAATTATTTGCATTTTTTTATATTGCACTAAATCAGGGGTCCTTAAACTATGGTCCCTGGGATGGATACGTGCAATGAATGTTTGTGTTGCTGCAGAGTCTCCCCCTTCAGGGTTTTTTTGTGTGGGTCGGAGTGGGGGCAGAAATTTCAACTCTGGGTCTGCTTCAGCCTCCTGGTGCAGGGCTTTGGGCGAAGGCTGGAGGGAAGTGCTGTTGGTGGCAAAGAGCCGGAGAGCCTTGTTCCAGTGGGACTGCATCATGGCCTGGAACTGGCTGATCATCTCAGCCTGCTGAGCCTCCATGCACCTGTACCTGGCCTCTGCTTGGAAAGCCTATGCTCGTAGTCCTCAAGTGAGGTGCTTCTACTGAGTCTCCTTCCCGGCTAGATCCAATTTGAACTGAGTCACCTGTTTTGCCAACTCTTTCTCATGGTGGCTGCTTAGCTCCAACAACTGCTTCCTGTTGGGGCCCTAAGGAGCCCGGGCGGGCAGGCGAGCAGTGGCTGGGAAGGGAAAGGCGAGTAGAGGCTGGCAAGGTGCCCCTCAACATGGGTGACATCAAGTTGGCCATGCCCACCCAGTCACATGACCACCTAGCCACACCCACCCATCCGGTCATTAGGCAGATCATATTATTGGTCTGTGAGATTTTAAATTATGAATTTAGTGGTCCCTGAGGCCCGAAGGGTTGGGGACCCCTGGTCTGGAGGGCACCTGCAGAACAGCCACTGGGACCAAGTAGTTTTTACTGCTCTGCTGAGATCTCTTATTCCTCTTTCAGGATGCATTCAGCTTGTTAGCCTATTCCGACCCTTGGAGCTGTCCAGTCGGTCAGCAGCTGGATCCAATCCAGAGGGAGCCTGTGTGTGCTGCACTCAATAGCGCTATTTTGGGTAAGGAGATGCCAGGAGCCAATTGTGACTCCGCTTTGTGCGCCTCTTGCTGCACTGAGATGGCTTAATGTGGCCAGGGATTTTGCTCCATTTTGGCAGGTTTGGCCAAATTACCTGTGCTGGAGAGGGAGCATAGGTACGTGTATATAAGAAAGAGAAGGAAAAAAAGGGGGGGGAAGGAAGGGGAGGGGGCAGGAGGGAAGGGGAGGTTTAAGCATCACAATTTAATTTTTTTTTAAAAAAAAAAAAACCGTGTATTTTGTAGCAATAACTTCTACAACTTGGTAAAAGTTGTAATATTCACTTGATTGAGAAAAATGGCTCTGGGTGCCCATCAGGGTCAGATTTTTTTTTAGAAAATAGAAGTGACTGAATCCCCATGTTTTCTTTGGAAGGGTATCACCTCCCTTGCCTCCCACTAGACCAGGGGTGTCAACTTCTCCCCCACCTTTGCATGACCAGCGTGTGACGCATCCGACCCGCAGGCCACGAGTTTGACACCCCTGGACTAGACAAAAATGAGTCGGACAGCACCCTTGCAATCCAACAGTAGTGCTGTCCTACTGTCATGTCCCTAATTTGCCGGCCAGTAAATGACAATCCCGTTTGGACTGTTTTGGAAATGTGTCCGTCCTTTTGCCAGCCACGTTGCAAGAACGGCTACAAGAGGCTTTCCCTCTGGTCCCACCAACCCAAAACGTTTTCTGCCCACCGTAGGGACTGCCAAGGGGTGGGGCGAAGGGAGGGAGGGGAGGGGCAGCAAGACGTAGCCTGTTTGGATGACGCGTCCCTTGTGCATCTCTGGTCTCTTTCTCTCCTCAGAGTCTCAGAACCTGCCAAAGCAGCCCCCTCTGCTGCTGGCCCTGGGCCAGGCCTCGGAGTGCTTGCGACTCATGGCTCGCGTGGGCCTGGGCTCCTGCTCCTTCGCCAGAGTGGACGACTATTTGCACTAGCCACTGAGTGAGGCAGAGTGACCCCTCCAGTTGCTGCCCTTTCACCTCTTCCTGCCTTGCGGTTTCTCACCTGCGCCTGCCCTCCACCCGCTGCCCAGCAGAAGGACACAGTGTTGACTGAGGCGGGAGGGGAGGAGGAGGAGGAGGAGGAGAGGACCCTTGACGCGCCTTTGTTGCTCGCCCTGGAAACTGCTCGCAGGGCCCCCACCCCACCCCCAACCTGCCCTCCCATCACGGCCGCATCCTGCTCTGCCCCACAGCACTTGGCCTTCTCACCGGTCCTTCTGATGTAGCGCCTTCTGACTTTAGGATTTTACCTTTATTTTATTATGTTATTTTATTTCTCTGACTGAGCCACCAGTATTTATACCTGAAGAGTTTGTGCTGAGCTGGTTTCTAATTCATTTAGAGATAAAAAAAAAAAAAAGTGTATCTGAGTTGGTGACGGCCTGTTTTGCTTTTTTGTTTTAACTTTTATTTTTACGTTCGGAGAAACCTAACTGGCACGTGTGTTACTTGGACAGTATTGTTCACTGTTGCTGGTCCTCATAAAAACCCAGAGGCTGAATGTGCTTGTTGGAATATTAGCCATGCTATCCAAACAAAAGAGTTTCATCATCATCATCTTTTTTTTTTTTCCTGTGCCTATGACACAACAGCCCTGAGAAACTCTGCGGATGCACCCTGGGAACTAATCAGGGGAAAGGCTGAGATTGGGAGCAATAAGATGAACTGTTCCCAACTGTCCCTTTAATAGGATATCCTGCGATGGATGCTTGGAAAGAGAACGGGTGTGACCTGAGTTGTATCCCCATACTCTCTGGAGAAGCAGGAACATCTCTTAACCACAGTCAGACATGTAGGATATCGCTGTGGGGACGTGTTGCTGACAATCTCTGGAGGAATACAGGTTCCCTCTCCTTCCTCAAAGCAGAGTGATCGTAGGCTCTTCTGCAAGGGGACTTCTCCTCGGTCACATCTAGGCAACTCACATCTAACTCTTTAAGACTCGCCAAAAAGAGAAAAGAGAAGAAGGCTTGCCTGCATCCTCATCCTGGTACCCAAACAGCTGCGTGGAATGGAATCGAGGTGGAATGAAAAAACGGGAGCTACGTATTGGTCCAGCATTTTCTTCCTTTCTTTTTATTCTAGAGACTTCTTTCTAAAATCTTCCCTTATAAAGTGGATAGATGTCTCCATGTCAGTTGTGAACCAGGAAAAGTTGAGCCGTCAAAATAACAATTCTCCCCTCCCCCCCAATCAGTGTTTGAGTTTGTGAACCCAACTTTTCATTTCATCGTTTCATTGCCTCCCTGCCTTTGATATTACACTGATAGGACAATAGTACAACATCCTTGTTTTTAATCCTGCTTACCCCCCAATTGAAAAGAGGGTGTAAGGCAATATTATTCTTTTTTAAAAGGAAAATGCGGTTTTATTCCAAGGAATATATCTTTTTTAAAAACAAAACAAAAAATTGGGAACCATTTTCCAAACTTACATATTATAACAATCCTTACAAAATACTGCTGGAATAACAGGTTGGAAACTCCAGTCTATAATTTAATCTACACAAGTGAAATTATAACCACGTGTCTTTACAGTACAACAGAGGAATCCTGCTGTTCTTAAGAGCTTGTTAATATAATCATTAGCTTGCTGGTCTATTTCAACATTTTGCCTAGCTTTTAAAATGTTTTTAATTGGGAAGAATTTTTTTTTTTAAAAAAAATCCCATCAGTTCGGCAGGCAAGGCATTTTAATTAAAACCGAGCACTTGCAGAAGATAACACGAAAGAGAGGTTTTTCTGATGCGATGAAGAAAATGCTTCCATTGAGGGTAGGGAATTTTAATTTATAGTAGCATAGAAAGGGTGGTTTTTTTGGTTGAGAATCTTGTAGCTGTGATGAAAAAAAAAAAAAACTATGCATCTATGCACAATATATTTGGAATGTTAAGTAAGTATCCCCAGATTGGTGGAACCTGGAGAAATAAGAAGAAGGTGCGACTTCCGTTGACTTGAGTCCTGCCAATGCCCAGCAGAGACCAATGTTTACTTTCAGATTTGTAAGTGAGACATCCCGAATTTAGAAGACTGCGCATTACTGTCTCCTTGGCAGATCAAGACTGAGTTTTAGTGCAAGATGCTGAAAGAAAAATGGGCACATCAGAGAATTGACTCTATGGGGAAAAAAATACAGGTCCAGACTCTGGTTCCATTTCCATTTGCATAATTTGACTGGGTGCTGACTAGATCGAAACGAAATGTTTTCTGATTTGCACTTTTGACAAGCGGAAACATCCATCCACCATTCTTTTTGCTTGGATGGTCATGAAAGTTGCACGTTTGCTGTGATTGGATTTTACCTTGCCTGATTCTTTTTAAGGACTGATAAGGCTAGTTTTATGCCAAGCCATCAAATTACGGTATCAATGAATAATTGACCACCCCAGCTTAAAAGCAGAATGATTGGTCCACCTTCCATCTTTTGTAACGTCTTATACGGCAAATGTTTATATCGGCAACCCCACCAGCTCTCTTTATCTGGCCTGCTGCGTTTGCTTTTAGGCTTCATGGGAGTTTCCAGTATTTGAATTCCTGTTTTAAATGTTCACCGTCTTAAGTTGAGCTTCAACAAGCCAATCTCTTTATTTGGGGGGGCAGATTTCTTTTCTGCTTTGTTTTCTCCGGTTTCCATCTCATCCTTTTTTCAAAGTTGCTTCAAGAAGTTGATTTTTTTTTTTTTTTGCTCTTCGCTGCCTGCTGCTTTTCCCCTCCAAGCTGTGGCTTCTTTGCCATCCTTTGCTTAAAAGTCACCTGTTTTGATGGCAGTTTTTGCCCTGTAAAATATTATCTCAGACAAGTAGCTAGTTGCCATCTCTAGTTGGTGGTGTGGCAGTGGTGACACATGTGGAAAAGAGCAAGCTGAACTTTTCCTGATCAAAGACAATCTGCATTTGATGACTCAACGTTTAGATGCCACTGTCGTGTAGCTACGGCAGGTGAAATTTAATTTAGGAAGCATTGCGCTATGCCTGAGTCTTGGAAATGTGATCCAAGACAATCAGATATTTGAACACTAAATATAATTGCTCTAAAGAGACCACAGTGCAGATGGAAAAGGAATCTTTGAAGGGAAGAACATTTAAAATTGTGTTTGCGGTTAAAGGCTTTTTCACCATTTTCAAGGGCATAAAATAGTACAGAACCTTTGAGTTTTCCATACAGCAAAAGGGGTGGAGGAGTGTCTAGTTTAACAGTTAACATTTAGTCTCCATTTTGAGATGAAACCTGACGGAATTTCTTAGACATTGCCAGGTGATAATGAGGTTGTATCTACCACATACCTTAGGATAATTTCCTTTTTTTAAAAAATAGTTTTAATAAAAAGATTGACACAGATAAAAAATTCAAAGAAAAAAAATATTGTCTTTTTGACACCCATCTGACTGATTTTGCCATCCTGTCAGAAACCTTTTGCGAGCAATCCATCTGATTCCAGGTCTCTATCAACCATTGATCAGAACAATGAGAAACTAAAGCATAGCAACTCGTTTTCTGATCATTTGACATGTTGATCATACTTTGGACCAAGATGGTCGCAGTGCCTATAAAATGGACATTGGAAAATCCCGAATGCAAGAGTGACGCTTCCTTGATTGCCCTCTACTACAGCGGTAGAATACTCTGCAATGACGCTTTCACAACTGTGAAGACAATGGCTAATGGTAGCCCAACATCTCCGGAGGACATTCGAATGGGGAGAGGATTGTTGCTTGTGAGGAATTTCAGAGTCCCCCGGTAGATGTCCCTGTTCAAAGAACCATCTCATTTTTCTTCCATGTAGTTTTTGCAACCAGTTCCAGGAGTTCTTGGCTGGAAATTAGAACGTTCTAGTATCGGAATGTCACCAACCAATGATTCAAACTGGCTATCTTGATGCCAATCATCGCTTTTTCAACAAGGAGCAGCATCACACCAACAAGAGTTGGTGCTTCATTTGCCCCCATTATGGTTCTCCGCATCCTGTAACCAAATAAAAGTGCCAAATCCTCTTATCGAATTGATTCATTTAACCAGTGTTGTTTTGGGAACTTGTTTTGGGAATATTTGAGAAGTACAATAGCCGTAGAAGAGCCCAAAGGGTCACTACCAACAAGTATGTTCAAATCTTTGGACCTGAAGGGTGTTTTATTTTAAATTTGGGCTGGAGCTTTAAGATTTGGGTGCCATCTGCTCATCTTGAACTAGCAAGAAAGATGGTTGGCAGGCATAATTCGGATTACATTTTGGACATCTGACACTGAAAAAGAAAAGAAAAAAAGTAAAGAATTCTCCTTTATTTTTCTCTTCCTCTCGCTTTTTACAAACTCGGGTACCAGCTCTCGCATGGCATCTCAAACCCTTTTCGTTTTTCACTGATTTTATTACGATAGCAACTGTAAGGATTTTTTTTTTTTAAAGTATCCTATCAAATAAGCGGGCCGAGCAGAATGTGGGTTCCACCAGGGTTCCATAATCTCACGTTTCATTTTCCTTTTGTTGAGGACTTGACGGATCTCCTTCCAAGCTGCGCACATTTGGATCAGTTTCTGCTTAGTATTTGTGAGTTCAGTTAAACCCAACTCTAGCATGAAAACCTTCCCAAAGGAGGACATTTTAACTGACAAAAAAAGAAAAAAAGGAAAAAAAAAAAGAAAGAAAGAGAAATTGTACTGGAAATATAGAAACCCACAGTCTGTTGTATTTTGACAGAATTATTTTTATTAAAATATGCATCTCTGTGCACTTGCCCGTGTCCTGTCTCACTCGTCTCTACTCCATTCTGGTGCTTGTGTGTGTTGTCTATTGAGGGAAGAACTTTTATTCTGTATGGGTAGTCCTCGAACATACTACCACAATTGAGCCTAACATTTCCATTGCTAAATTAGAGTTGAAAGTCCTATTGCCAGCCACTGGTGCATGAGCTAGGTATGCCCTCACTAACCTTGGTCAAAACTGCCTGGCCTCCTCTGTATGTGTTACGGTCCGCTGGCGGCCTGTGGGGCTAGCAGCAGAGTCGGACAGTGAGGAGGTTGGGGAGGACCATGGGCCAGTCCTGGACTCTGGGGAAGGCTCGGACGAGGGCTCTGCGTCCGAGGCAGAGAAAGGGCCATCTGGGAGGTACGTGCTGCCTCCGGAGCCTCCAGAGTCGGACCTCAGCGAGGCAGAGGAACAGGGGGGGGGGCTGTTCCCAGTGTGCACATGCGCAGAGCTTCCAGAAGGCAAGAACAGCTAAAACAAAAGGGACGACTCGGGAGTAGGGCTTGGAGATGATTGGCCCCTCCCATAAGACTTAAAAGAGGAGCAAAGGCACGTGGGCCTTTGCAGGAAGCAACGTTAATTCTGTGCAGTTTAAAGCCTGAAGCTCTGTTTGATTCTGGACTCCATGTGGCTTTGCCAATTAGGTCTTTGGCAGTGTGTCAAGGGAGATAAAGGTGGGTGATTATCAGCCTTATCCCGAAGGACTTTTTACAACTTTTTGGGACTCTTCTGTGAATGAACAGAATTCACAGCTGTTGAAATAAAAGAGGTTTTTGGGACTACGTGTGTGTTTTACTGACTCAGGAAGCCTAGGTCAGAACAGTATGTTCAAATATGTGCATTTGTTAGTTCATATCTGTATCCTCGGTTGTCATTTCTATCTGATTGTAGAGAAGTACAGTACACCTGTTTTGTAGTGAAATATCTGTCATCTGAAATAGGATGAAGGCAAGCTTTACCAGGTGAAACTGCCATCACAATGTACATCGAAAGCATCTAGTTTCATAGATTGTGAAATCTATTTTTTTTTTTATGATAACCCAGTATGAGGGAGAAATGAGAGCTTGTGTGCGTTGTCTATTGAGGGAAGATTTTTTGTTCTGTAGGGGAAGTCCTCGACTTATGACCACAATTAAGCCCAGCATTTCCATTGCTTAGGCCAGACAGGGAGGCTGGATATCTCAGCAGACTAATGCATTGTAATTTAACTCCAGCTGTCTGCAGTTAGTAAGTTCGAATCTTGCCAGGCTCAAGGTTGACTCAGCCTTCCATCCTTTCTAAGGTAGGTAAATTGAGGACCCAGTTTGTGGGGGCAATAAGCTGACTTTGTAAAAATATACAAAAGTATGAAGGCTATTGCTTAACGCATTGTAAGCCGCCCTGAGTCTCCGGAGAAGGGCGGCATATAAATCAAATAAAAAAAAAAAACCCAGTTAAGTGAGTTGAAAGTCAGGAGTGCTATTGCCAGCCAGTGACAGTGTGAGTTCCAATCTTTGGATGACTTACGTTGTAAGATAAGAATCGAGGTAAATATCGGCATTAATCCTAAACCGATGGAGCAGTTGACATAAAGACTAAAATCAAGCGTGACCCTACAATTAAAATTTGGATGTCTTCATTTTCATTGCTTATAGCTAAAGGCATACATTGTTAGAACTCAGCACCCTATTTAGTCGGGAATCTTGTTCCACCACAAGCATTTTAATCATCCTGCTTTCTATTAATCCATGACAAGGAAGGGGAATAAGCGTCTCCCAGCCAGACACTGTTTAATTGCAACAGCCTGCATGACTCACCCCAAGGCACGATGACTATAAACTCTAAAGGTCCAAGAGAGTGAGACCCTCGATTTCCCCCTTTCTATCTATAATGTTGAATAATAGCTTGTTTGGAAGTTATGGCTTAAATGTATGTGCCCTTCCCTATTCACCCCAGATGCTCTTGGGGCAATGTAGATGGCAAAGACAACACTTCAAAGAACAGGTCAATATCTTTCGGCAGAGAAAATTAGACGAGTATAATAAAAAAAATCAGGTAAGTTTTTAAATACTTAAGAATTGTTTCAAATATCTGTGGAATTGAAGTTCAGTGCTGAAAAGAATAGTACTGATTGCATTGCAAAAATCAAGCATACTGCCAATATTCATAGTCTTCAGAATCAAATTCTGTCACAGTACACACAAAAAAACAGTTTTTATGATCTTAATAATTATCAGTGGTTTATTCCCCTCCCACAAATGTGTAGGATATTAAAGCTAAGCACCAGGACTTTAAATTCCTTTATATTCCTGATTCTATATATGTTTTACCTGATAATGGAAACAAGCGTATTTAATAGTTTCTTATTACTTGCATCTAGCCCTTAGTAGGTATAGTTCCTTTTCATGTTTTCCTTTGAGCATCATGAAGATGCATACATTTCTCTGATTAGATTTTAAAATATTTTTGTGAATAGCACATAACATGCAAAGCTTTTTGTGTGCAAGTAGACAATGAGTATGGAAGCTAACTAGTGCCAATTACTGAATGCATTTCATGTAACTCGGAGAACACTCCCTTTAAATGCCTAATGTTCCCTTGGATTGTCTCACTCTGTTGAGCCCCGGGTCTCAGATGTTTGTTTGTTTGTTTGTTTGATTGATTGATTGATTGATTTCATATTTTGACTTTGCTGCTGCTGAACTCCAGACCAACTCTGACCAGTTCTGGAGAACCTATAGCAGAAATTTTGAATAGTTCGGAGAACCATTAAATACCACCTCTGACTGGCCCCGCCCCCATCTATTCTCTGCCTCCCGAGTCCCAGCTGATCGGGAGGAAATGGGGATTTTGCAGTAACGTTCCCCTGGAGTGGGGAGGAAATGGGGATTTTACAGTATCCTTCCCCTGCCACGCCCACCAAACCATGCCATGCCCACCAAGCCACACCCACAGAGCCAGTAGTAAAAAATTTTGAAACCCACCACTGATCCAGTGAATTTCCTTTGCCTGGACATTTTTTCCATTATAACACATATCTATGGAGATTCTCAGTCCTGGTCATGGTTGTTCCAAAGGTCCTTTTTCAAGAGGCAACTGGACTTTCTGATTTTTCTTTGAAGACATTTCACTTCTCATCCAAGAAACCTCTTCAGCTCTGGATGGTGAGGAATAGAAGGTTTGGGGATTATAACACGTGGTTTCAGGCATGATGAGGTGGCTCATAAAATCCCAAAGGGTTTTGTTTGAACTTGTTGGGCCAGAGGAAGCAAACGGAGTCCTTATAACTGTGAGCTGGGGCCACCTGCTTATTAGATTCGTGTCTCCTGATTGGTGAAAGTTTCCCACGAAGAGTCAAACGTGCAGCTGAGTTCTAGTGCTGCTCACTTCTTCATTGAAAGAAGGGGTAGTTCCTCCGCCTCCTAGAGACATCGCTTCACTTCCTCCTCAAAAAGCCATGGCTAAACCTCAGCATCCTGAATTGCCTTGTGGTGAGATGGGTGCCAAATAAATTTCATAAAGCAAAATAGAACCTGAAGCATGTACTGATGAGTGGAATCTCAAGAATTCTTGAAAGATAGCAGTGCTTGAGTGAAAACAAGATCAGTGCCAGAATCAGCTATATGCCTGAATTGTGCAATGCCAAATTGAAATACCTAATCTAGGATTAGGTATTTAAATTAATGAATTGACCCAATGAGAAATTCCAAAAATGTATACGACAAATCAAAACCACTGGTGCTGTAATGGTAGAAGGCAATGTTTTGTTTTGTTTTTTAATTTGATTTATATGCCGCCCTTCTCCGGAGACTCAGGGCGGCTTACAATGCGTTAAGCAATAGCCTTCATACTTTTGTATATTTTATACAAAGTCAGCTTATTGCCCTCACAAACTGGGTCCTCATTTCACCTACCTTAGAAAGGATGGAAGGCTGAGTCAACCTTGAGCCTTGGAGAGATTTGAACCAGCAGTAAATTGCAGGCAGCTGTGTTAATAACAGGGTGCTTAGACCACTGTACCAGCAAGGCTCTGTTGCCGGCTAAATCTGCCCACAGCCTGGAATTCGATCCTGATGGGGCTCAAAGTTGATTCAGCCTTCCATCCTTTCCCAGGCCAGTAAAATTAGGACCCAGATGGTTGGGGGCAATAGGCTGACTCTGTAAACTGCCCAGAGAATGCTGTAAAGGACGATGAAGTGGCATATAAGCCTTAAGTACTATTGCTGTTGCTAATTTTTATGTAGAGCTTTCCAGCAGAGATGAAAAGGCGTGAAAGGTGTGGATGTCGTTGATCTCAATGCTCCTTTAGCTAAAGCAACCACTGTTGCCATCCCCAATGTGTAGATAAAGTTCCTCAGAAGATCTAAAGGGGGTGTTGCCTGTTCCTTATAATGTTAGTTCCCGCAATGAGAAGAGGCATTTGGAACATGCTATTTGGAGGATGCTATTAAATCATACATAAATTTTGCAGGGCAGTAGCTTATCTTCCTGAATGTTCCTTCAATTATTGTAAGCAGTGCTGTTTTCTGTAATAACTAAATCAAATGTAGTGAGCTAGCCAGAGTCAGTGGGAATTGATGGCAAACGAATTTAACAATAAATAAATAAATCTTTCTCAGAGGGTGGGTGTCATAACTAAGTCAAATGTAGTGAGCTAGCCAGAGTCAGTGGGAGTTGATGGCAAACAAATTTAATAATAAATAAATAAATCTTTCTCAGAGGGTGGGTGTTGCCTATTCCTGATATTGTTACCGCCCATTATGAGAAGATGCATTTGAACACACCTTTGAGCAACTTGGAAGCAGAAGCTGCAAGTCCTTGAAGAGATGGCGAAGTCGGTGGATTTCTGCGTTTTCAGCGTTCTGGTGACAGGATCCGATCAGGGGATCGGTTTGGGTCTGGTGAAGAGGTTTCTGGAGCTGCCTTCTCCACCCAAATGGGTCTTCGCTACAACCCTTGACCTGGAAGGAGAAGAAACCAAGGTAAGTATGAATTAGCATAGGATGAGGTGGTAAATAGTGGTTAAGATATTGAACTGAGGATGAATGTCAAGCTTGCATTTTGAGCACCCCAGGAATATTGGACCCAGATATCTGTATACACTGATTGTATTTTTCCCTTTTGCAACACGTGATTCTAAATAAAGCACAGATTGAGTGCTTTTCTATTTAAATAATATATCATTCCCCTTTTCTTTTTTCTTAAATTCTGTTCGCTTGTCATTACATTAACTTCTGTTTCATTCTGTTATCCCTGTTTTTTCTTCTGCATAGCATACTTCTGTTTTTTTCTGATATTCAACCAAAAATATTTTTTAAAAAGCAATGCCATTCAAAGCAGAGGGAAGTAGTAAGCAAAATAAATTACTGTAAGGCATAATACAAGGGGTAAGTGAGAAAAATATAATTAAATTTAATCCCCGTCAATCCATCCTTACTTTCACCCTAATTGCTTCATGCATTGTATTCCTGGAAAACAAAAAGCTTCCACTAATGCACGGGTGTCAAGCTTGATTTCATTGAGGGCCACATCAGGGTTGTGTTTGGGGTGGGCATGGCCAGGGTGGGTGTGGCCCAGTGATGGGTTGCTCCCGGTTCGCATTGGTTCACAAAAACTGGTAGTAAAAAATTGTAGTAGTTCGGGGAATCAGTAATAACATTGGTTGGCCACGACCCCAAACCGGTCCCCGGCCCGGTCGCCGCTCGCTTACCCCGGCCACCTCATCAGAGGCTTTTTTTTTTTACTTTTAAAAGTATTTTTTTCTACAATCTCTTCAGTCGAAAAAATGCTTTTAAAAGTAAAAAAAAAAAAAGCCTCTGATGATTGCGCAGGTCAGCTGGGATCGTCAGAGGCTTTTAAAAGCATTTTTTCTACAACCCCTTTGGCCGAAGAGGTTGTAGGGGAAAAATGCTTTTAAAAGCCTCTGGCGATCCCAGCTGAGTTGCCTGATCGTCGGAGGCTTCTAAAAGCATTTTTTTCTGCAACCTCTTCGCCCACCCAGTCACATTACACCCCTCCCACCAAGCCACGCCCACAAAATAAGCCACACTCACAGAACTGGTAGTAAAAAATTTTAGAACCCATCCGTGGTGTGGCCAGCTCGACGTCACTCGTGCCGGGCTCCTGTGATGGCCCGAGCACTCTGCCAGTGAAAATGGGCTCCTTACCTCCATTTTTGGATGCCATGACCTGCAACCCTCTGCGAGAGAAAATGGAGGCACCGTGAGCAGGTCCTAAACTGTTTCCAGGGCGTCCGCGTGGGCCAGATCTAAGCAATCGGTGCCTTGAGTTTGACACTTCTGCACTAATGGGCCATTTTGCTCCTAATTGTCCAGATATACACTGGTAGTTATTCTAAAAGATAAGACTCAGAATTCCAGATGTGCTCACTGATTCAAAGGAGGTGGAGACTTCTGTGCTGAACCATTCAAGATTTACACTTCCATTGTACCCCAAAAATCAACAAAATGGCTTCCTACATTAATTAATGAGCCTTGGTAGTACAGTGGTTTAATGCACCCTGTCATTAACACAGCTGCCTTCAATTTCTGCTGGTTCGAATCTCGCCAAGGCTCAAGGTTGACTCAGCCTTCCATCCTTTCTAAGGTAGGTGAAATGAGGACCCAGTTTGTGGGGGCAATAAGCTGACTTTGTATAAAATATACAAAAGAATGAAGGCTATTGCTTAACGCATTGTAAGCCGCCCTGAGTCTCCGGAGAAGGACGGCATATAAATCAAATTAAAAAAAAAAAAAATTAGCTCTCTTAATCTTGCTGAACAGAGCGTCTTCTATAATAAAGGTTTGGTTAGTGACCTCTCCCCTTAGAAAAAGCTTTGAATCAGCAGTCAGGCATGGAAACATTTTTTACAGAGTCATAGCTGGTTGAGTTACATCGAATGAACTAGGATCCCATGAAGCATTAATCCTTCATGTGGTTTCTTGAGGTTTTGCTGTTGTTCAGTCAGGAATATTGCACAGCTGCCATCTAATGAAAAAAAAAAAAAACTCCTTTACTGCTTGCTCTTCTTTTTGAAATTGTACTCATTGACATCCAGCTCAGATCATTATCTGCTGCTTGTTCAGACCATAAGTCTGAATTTTAGCTCAAGGAAAAACTATGCTCTTTTTTTCCCCTCCAGGAGCTAAGAGAGTTGGTTTGCAAACATCCGAATCTGGTGGTGTTGCAGTTAGGTAAGTTTCAAGAACCATGTGAAAATGGGACAAGTTCTATAGGAATGCCCAGAGTGTCCATTTCAAAGTCCTTATTGGAACTAACTGAACCTGTAACATCCCTGCTTGAGTTCAACCCGAATCAGCTTCAGAGATAGAAAAGTATTTAATTTAGACGCCTCCAGATATTAGAAGAGTTTTCTCTGGAGCATGTATTAAACATGATAAGATATGGAAACTTCCAAGGAGATCCAGTTAAAGAAAGACACATACCTTTGATGCAGGGGTGGGTTCTAAATTTTTTTACTACCGGTTCTGTGGGCGTGGGTTTATTTTGTGGGTGTGGCTTGGAGGCCATGTGACTAGGTGGGCGTGGCTAGCTGGTCAGTCATTTCTGGAAGGTCCTCGCACTTACAACCAGTCCTCGCACTTACGACCCGACTCATTTGTTTGCTTTTAACATTGATCAGCTGTAGGGAGGCCCTTTGAAGCCCTGGGGCAAGAGTTTAAGCAGTTTTTTTTCCCTCTAGTCATCAGCTGGGACTCAGGAGGCAGCAATAGATTCGGGGTGGGACCAAATAAAAGTTAAGAATAATGTGGAGGGGTAGGAGGGGGAGGGGGGGGAGAACCGGTTCGGTGACATCATATTGTCACCGCTACCGGCTCGGCCGAACCGGGAGGAACCCACCACTGCTTTGATGTTTATGGAATTCTCAGTCAGGTAGGTCATGGTTGTCCCAAAATGTTTTTTTCTAAAAGGCAACTGGACTTTTTTTGGGTTTTTTTGAAAACATTTTGCTTCTCATCCAAGAAGCTTCTTCGGTTCTAACTGAATCTTTGTTACAGCTGTTGAAGACACTGCACATACATTGATTGCAAACTATATTTTGCAGAAAGGACGTTTCACTTAGAACAGGGGGAGTCAAACTCACGGCCCGTGGGCCAGATGCGTCACGCACTCGCCACGGCTACCCCCAGATTAGTGAAGGGGGGGGGGAAAGTCGTGATACGCCACATGACGATGATGTGATGATGTGAGTTTGACATCCCTGATTTAGAATTTTATTTAAAAATTTCAAATATTGGGATCAGTGGTGTGTTACTCCTGGTTTGCATCGGTTCGCAAGAACCGGTAGTAAAAATTTGTAGTAGTTCAGAGAACCGGTAATAACATTGGCTGGCCACACCCCCAAACCGGTCCCCGGCCTGGTCGCCGCTTGCTTATCCCGTCCACCACATTGGCCGAAGAGGTTGTAGGGGGAAAAATGCCTTTAAAAGCCTCTGGCCATCCCAGCTGAGTTGCCTGATCGTCAGAGGCTTTTAAAAGCATTTTTTTCCCGCAACCTCTTGAGGTTGTAGAAAAAATGCTCTTAAAAGTAAAAAAAAAAAAGTTGCCCACGCCCACCCAGTCACATTACCCCCAAGCCATGCCCACAAAATAAGCCACGCCCACAGAACCGGTAGTAAAAAAAATTTAGAACCCGCCCCTGATTGGGATCCTCCCCCTGCGTCTTACTTCCTGCAGGGAACAAATCTGCATATCTCTAGCAAGATTCATTGACGCCCACAACTTTGGAATAGACTGAGGCTGAAGGCAGGGGCAATTTATTATGAATATGTTCTATTTTCTCTGTATTACTTTTATAGATTTTTTTGATATGGTCAGATAATAAATGTGTTGGCGGGAGTGGTTGCGTTCACTGTGGTTTCTTTCAGGTTGGGTTTGTTATGTGACCGCCCCCCCCAATTAAAAATAAAGAATCCCCCCCACCTCCAAGAGTGGGAGAAGTCAAGTTAAAACTCCATGGCTGGGTGTTTGACATCATCATGTAACATCTGTATCACCCTGCTTTGAGGAGGGAAGGAGGTCTGCATAAAGCTGTGTTTTTCAAATTTAGCAACTCTATTGCTTAAGAAAACTTTTCCTTAGATGTTACTAATCTTGAAAGCATCCAAGCGGCTCAGAAAGAAGTGGAAAAGTGTGTTGGAGAAGGTGGGCTGACCATCCTGTACAACAATGCCGGCATTTGGAACGTCAATAACCTGCAAACAGAAGATGCCAAGGGTATGATGACAGTGTATTCTGTCAATACCATTGGCCCGCTGCTGATGAGTCAGGTTTGTTGATGAACAAAATACCTTTCAAAACAAGATCCGAGCTGTTGCATTCAGTATAAATCAGAGGTGGGTTTCAGCAGGTTCTGACCAGTTCTGGAGAACCGGTAGCGGAAATTTTGAGTAGTTCGGAGAACCGGTAGTAAAAATTCTGACTGGCGCCGCCCCCATCTATTCTCTGCTTCCCAAGTCCCAACTGATCTGGAGGAAATGGGGATTTTGCAGTATCCTTTCCCTGGAATGGGGTGGGAATGGAGATTTTACAGTATCATTCCCCTGCCACACCCACCAAGCCACGCCAATCAAGCCATGCCACACCCACAGAACCGGTAGTAAAAAATTTTGAAACCCACCACTGGTATAAATGGAGAACAAGGAGCAAGCTGAAAACAGAAGTAGTAGAAATTGTACATTGATTTGGGAACAGGGTGAAACATTGGTGTAGCTCTTCCCTTTTAGGAAGAGTGTTGGGACTGGGGGGAAAAATATCTCCCGGATTGCTGTTATCCTTAGGCGAGTCACTTTGTGGTCAAAATCACACACAATTTCTCAGAGCTTGAGGATGACTGGAGAGAATCTGTACAGTCGCAGTGACATCTTGGAATGTCAGTTGAGGTGCACCAAATCTGCAAATGTTTAATTCGTAATTCTCCAGAGTTCAGAGCTTTGGTGCCAGCTGAGTTTAATGGAGATAATAATCCCTTTGTGCTTGAAAGAAGCACTGAAGCTCCCACTTCTTAAGAGGCTATCTCTTAACCCACAGACCTTTGACAATTATGTCTCATCTCTCCCTTTTTGGAAAGTTGAAAGAGAACGTAGAACACGGGGACTACCTGCATCTCAGCCAAAATGTGGGGTTGTAGACTCTTAGATGTACGGTATGTTCCCCATAAATCCATTTTGTAGGTCATTCAGACTCTCAATCAGCTAGAGCTTTGGAGCCATCTTTGAGGACAGCCCACAAAAGTTTTCCTGGGAGTGGTGAGGCCTGCATGACTCTCTGAAGGTCCCCTGGCAGAAGATCTTGCCCTGCCATTCCACAGCTCCTTTTTATAGTCCTAACTGCAACTCCTCCTTTCTTCTCTTCTCTCTTCAAGGCATTCCTACCCGTCTTAAAGAAGGCAGCCCGAAGAAGCCCATGTCAAGGGCTGAGCATCAGCAAGGCAGCCATTATCAATATGTCCAGCACTGTAGGCTCAATTGAACTTATGGCTTATTGGGATTTGGGACAGACAATTGGATACCGCTGCAGTAAGGTGCTTACTGTTTTCTATGTGAAGCTACCATGTTTTCCCCAAAATAAGACCCTGTCTTATATTTTTTTGAACCCCGAAATAAGCACTTGGCCTTATTTTCGGGGAGGTCTTATCCTTTTGGGGCACGTGGAGCAAGATGGGGCTCCTCTTGCCATCTTACCTGATTTCCAGCTCTGTCTCCCTAACCCTAACCAGAGGAAATGGCGGGGACCGGCTACGCATGTATTTAAATATTTTTGGGGACGGCTTATTTTCGGCTTATTTTAGCACATGCGATCAAAAATCCGATTGGGTTTATTATCAGGGGATGTCTTATTTTAGGGGAAACAGAGTATTAGCACATAATTGGAATGTCCTTTTTTCCCCCCTCTTCAAATAAATAAAAAACTAGTAAAAACCACAGGAAAGAAGAGTAAAAAGCACAAAGAAAAACAAAAATGTGAAATATAAAAAGTTATAATAAGGTAAAAGAAAGTAAATATATAAAGAAGCGACGTCCAATCATCAACAAAATGAGTATAAACAATTTTAATAACTTTTAATCTCTTAATTTAGAACAATTGATTCCTTCAACCCATGGCCCCCCCCCATCTCTTATAGATAAGGAAATCCATAAAACCTTATCATTTCAGTCCTCATGTCAGCAAAAGTCCATTAAGGTATAATTTGTAAATCCACTTTCCACTCAATTTCTGTCTTGTCAGATGAAACATGTTCCCCTTCTGTAGTATTTTTTGTACACAGTCTATCCATTGAGGCAGATATCAACAGTGACGTTATTAATGTTTATTTTTGATTCCCTTTTTTGAAAGTATTCCTCAACATTAGAATATTTGTCACCGTTCTGTGTTAGATAAGATTATAGTTCTTCTCTTTTAATTGAAATCTTTAGTTCCCCCTAGTGCCCAATTTTAAAATGTTACTAGTTTTCTTCTAATTCAAAACCAAACACATTTTCGCAGGGGGAGGATCTTTTACAATTCCAAAATCTTATGTTAAATTTACATGGTCCCATGGTTTGTAGCTTTCCCAAACCAAAAGTTTCAATATCCCTTTCCTGTTTGTTTCGTATCCCTTTCCATCCCCACACAAGAGTTCATGCAGAATTATCTTGTCAATCACTGTTTATTTTAACCCTTTCTTCCCTTTGTGTCTTCCATACGTTCCTTTCTCACAACTGGAGTTGGTTTTGCTTTGCTCACACAGGCTGCTTTGAACATGCTCACCAAGTGCCAGTCTCTTGAGTACGCAGCCGATGGGATTATGACCGTCGCCATCCATCCTGGCTTAGTTAAAACTCGTAACAACCCATATGTAAGTTAGTTCACGTTGGAAAAGGTATATCACATTCTAATGCCTATCAAGATATCTATTTACACATACCCAAAGGCAAATTAATTACCTGCTGATGAGTTCTTGAAAGGTTTAGTATTCTGATTATTTGGGTTTTTAGCATTTTATTTAATAATGTGCTAGATGCAGGGGTGTCAAACTCGCAGTCCGTGGGCTGGATGCATCAGACATTGGCCACGCCCATGCCCGATTTAGCACAGGGAGGAAAATTCACGATACGTCACATGACACCGTGACACCCTGAGTTTGTCACCCCTGTGCTGGAGCAAAAACAAACGTCAAATACTGTATTTTTCACTTCATAAGATGCACTTCCCCCCCTCAAAAAGTGGGTGGAAATGTTGGGGCATCTTATGGAGCTAACATTGTGTTACAGACCAGGATGTGGCAGTGGGGGCGGGGAGGGGGTTGGTGCAGTGGCAGCGACAGGCAGTGGCAGTGAATGGCCTGTCACTGCCTATTGCCGCTGCCGCCGTTCTCCACTGCTGGGGGGGGGCGAGGGGGTTGGTGCGGCGGCAGCAAAAGGCAGTGGTACTGCTGCCTATCGCCGTCATTTGCTGCAGCCGGCAAACAGCGGCTGCAGCAGTGATAGGTGGTGGTGATCCCCGCTGCCTTAAACAGCTGATCGGCGGTATTGTGGGAGGCCGAACCAACCGTCGATATATGGCGGTGGTGATAGGTGGCAGTGGTGAGGGTGTGCAGCGCCAAATAGCTGGGGAACGCTGGCAAAGGCTTCATCGTTCCCTGGAGGAGGCAGCAGACACGGAGGAGGCAGCAATAGCGCCGTTTCCGGTCAGCCAACCTGCTGATCGGAGGGGCTACAGGAGGCCGGGATCTAGCTGCCGGTCAGCTGACCGGTGGTGGGTGCAACAGAGCAGAGCTCTGATGTGCCACGTGCTGGGGCTGGGAGGCAGAGGCAGATTTTTTGTTTTCTTGTTTTCCTCCTCTAAAGCTAGGTGCGTCTTATGGGCCAGAGCATCTTATGGAGCGAAAAATACGGTACTTTGGTAGAGGTTATGCTATTTCCTATATGCAAAAAATGCTATTTCTGTAGGAAAGCATGTGCTTACATATGAAATGACAATGACTCCGCCCTTCTCATATTTAAGACTCAAGGTAGGGTTGACCCATTTATTTTGGAACTCATAATGGAGGAAGGTGAGGAATAATTAGCATAGTAAAACACAAGAGTTCCACTTTACAAATATTAGAAGAAATTTATTGACTCAGTCCCTGCCTTTGCAAGGCACGATTAATCATGGTTCTCTTAATTTATTCAACTAACAGCACTGATGATGTTACCCTAGCTTGGGTAATGAAACATCCGTAAGAAAACAACCAAGCTCAGAGAGCACCAAGAACCCTTACAAATGTAAATATTAATACCGGTATTGGGTGAACACATGATCATAGAGACTGTGTTCTTATGTCCTTATACCTTTATAAGCCAAAATGAGATTGGCCAGTTTAATCCAAATCCTTCTACATTAGAGTTGGGATATTTATAGTCAAGAAATCCTACTGCATTTTGCTCATTTGCTTAGATGAGGTTTTGGTCTGGGTAGGATCGATTCTTTTAAATCTGATGAAATCCTCCTTTGTGGCAGTCGGGAATCACTATGGAAGAGAGCACCCGAGGCATCATGGTTGTGCTGTCCAAGCTTTGTGAAGATGACAATGGGACCTTTCTGGATTGGTTGGGTTCTCGACTTCCGTGGTGATCTGTCTTGCCATAATGTCATCAGCACTTAATTCCCTGAAAGGTAATGAAGCCTCCAATAAATCATTGCAGGCATGAAAACGTCTGGCCTTGTTCTTTTCTTTCCGTCGCAAGATTTCAAACTTCTGCATATCTGACTAAAAACATTTTGTAAAGAACAATGCCGACTGGCGGCCCCCAGGGGGAGAGCCTTCTCTGTGGGGGCACCTACTATCTGGAACGAGCTCCCCCCGGAGATACGGAGGATCCCGGATCTGCCCATCTTCCGCCGTGCTCTAAAGACCTTATTATTTCACCAGGCGGCCTGGCCTAATTTTCTCCCTCTTTTATAAAAGATTTTTAATTTTTAATATCTTTTAGTATTTTATATATTCAAATTTTAAAATTGGTTTTAAATTGATTGGGGTTTTAATTTGTCTGGGCCAAAACTATTTAATTTGATTTTAATTCTACTTTTAAATTTTGTATGTATGTATTTTATTGTTTGGCTGTGCACCGCCCTGAGTCCTTCGGGAGTAAGGCGGTATAGAAATCAAATAAATAAATAAATAAATAAAAAAGAATAAGGCAAACTATGAAGGACCAATGAAGAATCTTTTGGATTTGAAGGTTGCAGCTCCAAGAATCAAGAACAACACATGAAGTTACTTCCATATTTTTTCTTTATTGTTTGTCCTCCCGTCTGGGATTCCAGATTATATTAAACCACAGAAGTTGTGAAGACTGATTACACAAATGTCACAAAACATTTTTATGATCGCATATGCAAGCTCCACATCTCAAACCAGAAGCACGGTCTACCCGTTTAAATTATTTTTTAGAATGTAATCTTTCAACAGATTACAACAGATTACAGCGCACGGATAAATCCTTATACATCCATGTAAAATCTTATTAAAAAACGAAGATAAAAGGGGGAGGAAGATATTCTTGTTAGCTAAATAGCCAGTTAAATGAAAGCGATCTGGCAAATTCCCCAAAACTCTTTGTAGACAAGCGTCTTCTTTCTTACACTTTGATGCTATCCCCTTTACTTCTGTAATTTAAGGTATTTAGGCTAGTGAACATCATAAATCTTAATTGTCATACTTAGGTCTGGCTTTGTAGGCTTCTTACCCAGCAGCCAACATTATTTTTTTCCCTTGCTAATTAGGTCTCTCCCTTGATTAGAAAGTATTTCTAAATATTATATAAGGTGGCATACCCACCCACCTAGCTTCCTTTATTGTTTTGATGGCTCCCTCTGTTAGAGCAAGCAAAGTTGGTGTGTGGGCGTGACATGTCTCACAATATTGGCTCCTGTAATGAGAAGAGACATTTGAACTGAACTTTCAAGCAAGTTGGAAGCAGAAGCTGAAGGTCCTTGAAGAGATGGCAGAGCCAGTTGATTTCTGCATTTTCAGCGTTCTGGTGACAGGATCCAATCGGGGGATCGGTCTGGGTCTGGTGAAGAGGTTTCTGGAGTTGCCCCGTCCACCCAAATGGGTCTTTGCTACAAGCCGTGATATGGAGGGGGAGAAAAGCAAGGTAAGAATCAGTTAACGTAAATGAGGTGGTAAATTGTGATTAAGATGTTGAACTGTTGCTGGAACGATGCAAATTTTCAACTGGTTGTGAAGGTCGTGAGTGATTTGCAGCCATTTATTTATTCATTCATTCATTCATTCATTCATTTATTTATTCCTTCATTCATTCCTTCCTTCCTTCCTTCCTTCCTTCCTTCCTTCCTTCCTTCCTTCCTTCATTTATTTATTGGTTTGATTTATATGCCGCCCTTCTCCGGAGACTCAGGGAGGCTTACAATGCGTTAAGCAATAGCCTTCATACTTTTGTATATACATGCTTAGTAGGGCTTTTTTTGCCCCCCCCCCCAAGCGGTGTTCTTTTTTATACAAAGTCAGCTTATTGCCCCCACAATCCGGGTCCTCATTTTACCTACCTCGAAAGGATGGAAGGCTGAGTCAACCTTGAGCCTGGTGAGATTTGAATTTGCAGTAATTGCAGGCAGCTGGTGCTACTTAACAGCGCTTTAGTCTGCTGCGCCACCAAGGCTCTTGACTATTTCTCCATCCCATTTAGGCTTACAGTCTGCCTATTGTGGTCAAATGAATCTTAGAACCCCTTATACATTCCAGAAGAAAGCCTGGAGAGAAATGTGACTCTGTAGTTGCTAGGTTCATGCTATACCCTAAATTATGGCTTATTAGAACGATGACATTCGCCAAGCCCTAAAGAATCAGCATGGCATAGGGCTTTGCCTACAATGTGATGCTTAGAAGTAATTTATGGCTCAAAGAGATTTCCTAGAATCCCATAAAGTGCCATCCTCTCTTTGTTTGAAATCCTTTAATATTATACCTCTGCCATCCTTGAATACTAGAAACCAAAACACTAACTGAGCTTTGGTGGTACAGCGGACTAAGTGCTGTTATTGTAGCACTTAGCTGCCAGCTGCCTGCAATTAGTGAGAATTCAAATCTCACCAGGCTCAAGGTTGACTCAGCCTTCCATCCTTCCGAGGTAGGTAAATTGAGGACCCGGATTGTGGGGGCAATAAGCTGTCTTTGTAGAAACACTGCTTATGGGGGGGCCAAAAGCCCTAATAAGCAGGTATATACAAAAGAATGAAGGCTATTGCTATAAGTGCATTGTAAGCCGCCCTGAGTCTTCGGAGAAGGGCAGCCTATAAATTGAACTAATAAAATAATAATAAATAATAAATAATAACTTCAGTATTATATTTTCAACCTCCGGGGATATTCTGATGTAGATACACACACCCATCACAATCTTCCCTTTTCATGGCAAGCAACATGAAACAATGCAAAAGTGTGAACTAGTTCTATATTTCTTTTATAGGAATCGCCTTTTCTTCCTTCCCCCCGCCCCCACTTCTTAAAATTTACTTCACTTTAGATACCATTGTATCGTAATTCCTTTTCAGCTACGTAATCACTGCGGAATTATTAATTTTTCTTTTCTTTGATGTAGTTTATATTTTCCTGTTATTAAAGCAACGCGACACAACGCAGAGAAAAGCAACAAGCAATACTCAATCAAAGAAATTAAGGAAAAACATTGTGTCTATGGAAACCATCTTTGTTTGTCTCTCATGCACACTCAGCTTTGTGAATCACATTCCTAAAAAAAGCCAGCATGTGTGATTCAATTTGCATTCCTACTAAAGGAATCTAAACCATCTAAATCATGACAAGCTAATAACACTCACTTAGAATTTGAAATGTGCCCCGGTGCTGACCTATGAACCATGGTTTATAGTTGTGTGGAAACAAAACAAATGATACAGGGGTGGGTTCTAAATTTTTTTACTACTGGTTCTGTGGGCGTGGCTTATTTTGTGAGCGGCTTATTTTGTGCGCGTGGCTTGATGGTCATGTGACAATTATTTAGGGTTTAGCAGAGGTACTGGTCTACCAGACTGTACCGATCTACCCATTTATTTTTGCAGGCACTGATCTACTCATGTATTTTTGCAGGCACTGATCTACTCGTTTGTTTTCTTTTAACACTGATCAGCTGTAGGGCGGCCCTTTGAAGCCCCGCGGCAAGAGTTTAAACAGTTTTTTCCCCTCTAGCCATCAGCTGGGACTCAGGAGGCAGCAATAGATTGGGGGTGGGACTAAATAAAAGGTAAGAATAATGCAGGCGGGGGGGGTGGGGGGAGCAGAACCGGTTCGGTGATGTCATATCGTCACCGCTACCAGCTCAGCGGAACCGGGCGGAACCGGGAGAAACCCACCACTGAAATGATACCATGGCTACAAATCTTAGCTAGTTATCATTAGCCTTCTGTAATAGTAAATCTTCCATTAACTTTTTAAATAATTATTTACATTTATCCATTTTCAACAAATGTACCAACAAAATGACATGAAATTGACCCAACCTTCTCTCCCCTATGTGACAAATAAAAACACAGAAAAAAGCAAATGGGCTTGTAATTGCAGATACATTTTAAGTTCATCTGATTTTATAAAGCTTTGAAAGAGGAAGCTAACTTTTCCCTATTCATCAAACCAGTCCAAGAATTGGTTTAGTTTAGTTTACTTTATTGTCATGGCACCTTGTACAACAAAATTAAATGCCATTTTCAGTGTACGTTATATATAAAAAATAAAACAAAAACACACATCCTTCACATTTTATACAATTGAATTTTTAAAAACCTTGGTATTGCATTATTATTTATTATTATTTATTTATTATTCATATTTCTATGCCTCCCACTCTCTGAGGATTCTGGGCAGCTTACACCGAAGACAGTATACTAAATAGCATATTGCTCCCAATAATCTGGATCCTCATTTTACCCACCTCGGAAGGATGGAAGGCTGAGTCAACCTTGAGCCGGTGAGATTTGATCCGCTGATCTGCTGAATTAGCAGTCAGCTGAAGTAGCTGCAGTACTGCACTCTAACCACTGCGCCACCTCGGCTCTTTAATTAATATTGCACTATACAGTAGAATTCAATTTCCATGGGGGAAAGATAATAGGACGTTTTCTGATGGAGAGATTGTATAATTCTCTCAAAAAATGATAGGTCTAAAAACCCAGAATCCTTAATTCTAATCAGTTGTCTTCTGCAACAGAAGATGTGATCATCATTTCTCCAGCTGACGAGGTTTGAAGCTGGAGTGGGATGAAGGAAAGATTCTTGAGGAACCCCAATCTCCTGGGTTGGGTCATACTGACTGGGTTTACATGTTGCATTCAGCCATAATGCGGTTTGTTAACGTGTGTTTTGTTGATTTCATAGTAGTGTGCGCCTGCTGTTAAATGATTTTCTTTTGCTATTGTTCTCTCTGAGGACTGAAGTAATTGCCTATTTCTTGACCATAACTGTGAGTTTATGAGGAAAAATTATGAACTTTTTCTCCTCCAGGAGGTAAGGGAGTTGTCATGCAAGCATCCAAATCTTGTGATTTTGCAGTTAGGTAAGTTTTGTGTGTCAAATGCAAACGGGGCTAATTATGTACTTTATAAATGCCCAGAGCATCAGCTAAAAACGATTATTGGGAAAATCTAGCAAGCTTGGTTCCCTAGAGATTCTTTGAGGTTG